GCCGTCATCGCGGGCGCCGAAATTCTCTGTGCGCGCGAACCAAGCTGAAGTTGCTATGTTAGGTGTATTTGAACATGGGCCACCCGAATATGCAACAACATTCGGGTCGTTCGATGCTTTTCCCTACGCCTATAGGGATCCATGCGCTTCCTTAGCATTTGTGGGCAGGCACGGCCGTCATCGCGGGCGCCGAACTTTTTTGTGCGCGCGAACCAAGCTGAAGTTGCTCTGGTAGGTGTATTTGAACATGGGCCACCCGAATATGCAACACCATTCGGGTCGTTCGATGCTTTTCCCTGCGCCTATAGGGATCCATGCGCTTCCTTAGCATTTGTGGGCAGGCACGGACGTCATCGCAGGCGCCGAACTTTTCTGTGCGCGCGAATCAAGCTGAAGTTGCTCTGGTTGGTGTATTTGAACATGGGCCACCCGAATATGCAACAACATTCGGGTCGTTCTATGCTTTTCCCTACGCCTATAGGGATCCATGCGCGTCCTTAGCATTTGTCGGCAAGCACGGCCGTCATCGCGGGCGCCGAACTTTTCTGTGCGTGCGAACCAAGCTGAAGTTGCTCTGGTATGTGTATTTGAACATGTGCCACCCGAATATGCAACAACATTCGGGTCGTTCGATGCATTTCCCTACGCCTATAGGGATCCATGCGCGTCCTTAGCATTTGTCGGCAAGCACGGCCGTCATCGCGGGCGCCGAACTTTTCTGTGCGTGCGAACCAAGCTGAAGTTGCTCTGGTATGTGTATTTGAACATGTGCCACCCGAATATGCAACAACATTTGGGTCGTTCGATGCATTTCCCTACGCCTATAGGGATCCATGCGCTTCCTTAGCATTTGTCGGCAGGCACGGCCGTCATCGCGGGCGCCGAAATTCTCTGTGCGCGCGAACCAAACTGAAGTTGCTATGTTAGGTGTATTTGAACATGGGCCACCCGAATATGCAACAACATTCGGGTCGTTCGATGCTTTTCCCTACGCCTATAGGGATCCATGCGCTTCCTTAGCATTTGTGGGCAGGCACGGCCGCCATCGCGGGCGCCGAACTTTTCTGTGCGCGCGAATCAAGCTGAAGTTGCTCTGGTATGTGTATTTGAACATGGGCCACCCGAATATGCAACAACATTCGGGTCGTTCGATGCATTTCCCTACGCCTATAGGGATCCATGCGCTTCCTTAGCATTTGTGGGCAGGCACGGACGTCATCGCCGGCGCCGAACTTTTCTGTGCGCCTGAATCAAGCTGAAGTTGCTCTGGTTGGTGTATTTGAACATGGGCCACCCGAATATGCAACAACATTCGGGTCGTTCTATGCTTTTCCCTACGCCTATAGGGATCCATGCGCGTCCTTAGCATTTGTCGGCAAGCACGGCCGTCATCGCGGGCGCCGAACTTTTCTGTGCGCGCGAACCAAGCTGAAGTTGCTCTGGTATGTGTATTTGAACATGTGCCACCCGAATATGCAACAACATTTGGGTCGTTCGATGCATTTCCCTACGTCTATAGGGATCCATGCGCTTCCTTAGCATTTGTCGGCAGGCACGGCCGTTATCGCGGGCGCCGAAATTCTCTGTGCGCGCGAACCAAACTGAAGTTGCTATGTTAGGTGTATTTGAACATGGGCCACCCGAATATGCAACAACATTCGGGTCGTTCGATGCTTTTCCCTACGCCTATAGGGATCCATGCGCTTCCTTAGCATTTGTGGGCAGGCACGGCCGCCATCGCGGGCGCCGAACTTTTCTGTGCGCGCGAATCAAGCTGAAGTTGCTCTGGTATGTGTATTTGAACATGGGCCACCCAAATATGCAACAACATTCGGGTCGTTCGATGCATTTCCCTACGCCTATAGGGATCCATGCGCTTCCTTAGCATTTGTCGGCAGGCACGGCCGCCATCGCGAGCGCCGAAGTTTTCTGTGCGCGCGAACCAAGCTGAATTTGCTCTTGTATTTGAACATGGGCCACCCGAATATGCAACAACATTCGGGTCGTTCGATGCTTTTCCCTACGCCTATAGGGATCCATGCATTTTTCTTATAATTTGTGGGTAGGCACGGCCGTCATAGCGGGCGCCGAAAGTTTCTGTGCGCGCGAACCAAGCTGAAGTTGCTCTGGTAAGTGTATTTGAAAATGGGCCACCCGAATATGCAACAACATTCAGGTCTTTTGATGCTTTTCCCTACGTCAATAGGGATCCATGCGCTTCCTTAGCATTTGTGGGTAGGCACGGCCGTCATCGCGGGCGCCGAACTTTTCTGTGCGGAGATAACTAGTGCAACGGGAGCTAGACTACGGGCTAGGCACGGATGCCCGTGTAATCTCTGCGTTCGTTCCTTAGTCGTTTACTTGTGCTTGCACTGCTTGCTGGTTCACAGGGAAATTTGGCAAGAGTTTCACTAGCAAAAGTTAACAACAATGATAGCAACAACATTGGCAACACAGACTACATCAGACCTAGCAAGGCTGCTGGTCGACTGCCAGCGCAGCACGGTCGACCGCGTGCCAGAACGACATGGTCGACCGCGCTCCAGCAGAGCAGAGTCGCGGCTTGCCAATGTTGCAGCAAGTCTGCTGCCCCGTCACATGCACAGCGCAGACACTCCACCCGTGACGGCGCCCACCAGCCACGTCGACCTTGGGATTCCACCCCCGAGGTCGTCCTCGCAGAAACCACCCCCGGCGACTTTCGCACACGTCGCCCGGGTATCCTGGTCGACCGGGTATCCCGCAGCCCACGTGGCCCCCGGTCGTCCATCCGCGTCCACCACGGTCCCCGCGGTCCCGTGGTCCCGTGGTTGTCTCCCGCGGCCTCCCGCGGCCTTCCGTGGCCCCGCGGTCTCCCGCGGCCTTCCGCGGCCTTCCGCGGCCCCGCGGTCTCCCGCGGCCTCCCGCGGCCTTCCGCGGCCCCGCGCTCTCCCGCGGCCTTCCGCGGCCCCGCGGTCTCTCGCGGCCTTCCGCGGCCCCGTGGTCTGCCGAGGCCTCCCGCGGCCTTCCGCGGCCCCGCGGTCTCCCGCGGCCTTCCGCGGCCCCGCGGTCTCCCGCGGCCTTCCGCGGCCTTCCGCGGCCCCGCGGTCTCCCGCGGTCTCCCGCGGCCTTCCGCGGCCCCGCGGTCTCCCACGGCCCCCCGCGGCCTTTCGCAGCGCCGCGGTCTCCCGCGGTTGTCGAGGTCGGCTCCGCCCAAGCGAGGACGGGGCCAAACACTACTCCTGTTGACATTCTGTGCGCGCGAACCAAGCTGAAGTTGCTCTGATAGGTGTATTTGAACATGGGGCACCCGAATATGCAACAACATTCGGGTCGTTCGATGCTTTTCCCTACGCCTATAGGGATCCATGCGCTTCTTTAGCAATTATGGGCAGGCACAGCCGCCATCGCGGGCGCCGAACTTTTCTGTGCGCGCGAACAAAGCTGAGGTTGCTCTGGTAGGTATATTAGAACATGGGCCACCCGAATATGCAACAACATTCGGGTCGTTCGATGCTTTTCCCTACGCCTATAGGGATCCAAGCGCTTCCTTGGCATTTGTCGTCAGGCACGGCCGCCATCGCGGGCGCCGAACTTTTCTGTGCGCGCGAACCAAGCTGAAGTTGCTCTATTAGGTGTTTTTGAACATGAGCCTTCAGATATGCAACAACATACGGGTCGTTCGATGCCTTTCCCTACGCTTATAGGGATCCATGCGCTTCCTTAGCATTTGTGGGCAGGCACGACCGCCATCGCGGGCGCCGAACTTTTCTGTGCGCGCGAACCAAGCTGAAGTTGCTCTGGTAGGTGTATTTGAACATGGGCCACCCAAATATGCAACAACATTCGGGTCTTTCGATGCTTTTCCCTACGCTTATAGGGATCCATGCGCTTCCTTATCATTTGTGGGCAGGCACGGCCGCCATCGCGGGCGCCGAACTTTTCTGTGCGCGCGAACCAAGCTGAAGTTGCTCTGGTAGGTGTATTTGAACATGGGCCACTCGAATATGCAACCACATTCGGGTTGTTCGATGTTTTCCCCTACGCCTATAGGGATCCATGCGCTTCCTTAGCATTTGTCGTCAGGCACGGCCGCCATCGCGGGCGCCGAACTTTTATGTGCTCGCAAACCAAGCTGAAGTTGCTATGTTAGGTGTATTTGAACATGGGCCATCCGACAATGCAACAACATTCGTGTCGTTCGATGCTTTTCCCTACGCCTATAGGGATCCATGCGCTTCTTTAACATTTGAACATGGGCCACCCGAATATGCAACAACATTCGGGTCGTTCGATGCTTTTCCCTACGCCTATAGGGATCCATGCGCTTCCTTAGCATTTGTCGTGAGGCACGGCCGCCATCGCGGGCGCCGAACTTTTCTGTGCGCGCGACCAAGCTGAAGTTGCTCTGGTAGGAGTATTTGAACATGGGTCACCCGAATATGCAACAGCATTCGGGTCGTTCGATGCTTTTCCCTACGCCTATAGGGATCCATGCGCTTCCTTAGCATTTGTCGTGAGGCACGGCCGCCATCGCGGGCGCCGAACTTTTCTGTGCGCGCGAACCAAGCTGAAGTTGCTCGGTTAGGTGTATTTGAACATGGGCCACTCGAATATGCAACAACATTTGGGTCGTTCGATGCTTTTCCCTACGCCTATAGGGATCCATGCGCTTCCTTAGCATTTGTCGGCCAGCATGGCTGTCCTCGCGGGCGCCGAACTTTTCTGTGCGCGCGAACCAAGCTGAAGTTGCTCTGGTAGGTGTATTTGAACATGGGCCACCGAATATGCAACCACATTCGGGTCGTTCGATGCTTTTCCCTACGCCTATAGGGATCCATGCGCTTCCTTAGCATTTGTCGTGAGGCACGGCCGCCATCGCGGGCGCCGAACTTTTCTGTGCGCGCGAACCAAGCTGAAGTTGCTCTGGTAGGTGTATTTGAACATGGGCCACCGAATATGCAACCACATTCGGGTCGTTCGATGCTTTTCCCTACGCCTATAGGGATCCATGCGCTTCCTTAGCATTTCTCGTGAGGCACGGCCGCCATCGCGGGCGCCGAACTTTTCTGTTCGCGCGAACCAAGCTGAAGTTGCTCTGGTAGGTGTATTTGAACATGGGCCACCCGAATATGCAACAACATTCGGGTCGTTCGATGCTTTTCCCTACGCCTATAGGGATCTATGCGCTTCCTTAGCATTTGTGGGCAGGCACGGCCGACATCGCGGGCGCCGAACTTTTCTGTTCGCGCGAACCAAGCTGAAGGTGCTCTGGTAGGTGTATTTGAACATGGGCCACCCGAATATGCAACAATATTCGGGTCGTTCGATGCTTTTCCATACGCCTATAGGGATCCATGGGCTTCCTTAGCATTTGTCGTCAGGCACGGCCGCCATCGCGGGCGCCGAACTTTTCTGTGCTCGCGAACCAAGCCGAAGTTGCTATGTTAGGTGTATTTGAACATGGGCCATCCGAAAGCCGCTGGCCGCAGGCCGACGACCAACGGCAAGGCCGCCGGCCGCCGACCAACGGCATCGCCGCCGGCCGCCGACCAACGGCAAGGCCGCCGGCCTCCGGCCAACGGCAAGGCCGCCGTCCAACGGCAAGGCCGCCGGCCAACGGCAAGGCCGCCGGCCAACGGCAAGGCCGCCGACCAACGGCAAGGCCGCCGGCCGCCTGTCGCCGACCAACGGCAAGGCCGCCGACCAACGGCAAGGCCGCCGGCCGACGACAAACGGCATCGCCGCCGGCCGCCGACCAACGGCAAGGCCGCCGGCCGCCGACCAACGGCAAGGCCGCCGGCCGCCGGCCGCCGCCAGCCGCCGGCCAACGGCAAGGCCGCCGACCAACGGCAAGGCCGCCGACCACCGGCAAGGCCGCCGGCCGTCGGCCACCGACCAACGGCAAGGCCGCCGGACGCCGACCAGCGGCAAGGCCGCCGGCCAACGGCAAGGCCGCCGGCCGCCGACCAACAACAAGGCCGCCGGCCGCCGACCAACGGCAAGGCCGCCGGCCGCCGACCCACGGCAAGGCCGCCGGCTGCCGGCCGCCGACCAACGGCAAGGCAGCCGGCCGCCGACCAACGGCAAGGCAGCCGGCCGCCGACCAACGGCAAGGCAGCCGGCCGCCGACCAACGGCAAGGCCTCCGACCAACGGCAAGGCCGCCGGCCGCCGGCCGCCGACCAACGGCCCGGCCGCCGGCCGCCGGCCGACGACCAACGGCAAGGCCGCCGGCCGCCGGCCGACGACCAACGGCAAGGCCGCCGGCCGCCGACCAACGGCAAGGCCGCCGGCCGCCGACCAACGGCATCGCCGCCGGCCGCCGACCAACGGCAAGGCCGCAGGTCGCTGACCAACGGCAAGGCCGCCGGCCACCGGCCGCCGACCAACGGCAAGGCCGCCGGCCGCCGGCCAACGGCAAGGCCGCCGTCCAACGGCAAGGCGGCCGCCGACCGCCGGCCCACGGCGAGGCCGCCGGCCGCCGGCCGCCGACCAACGGCGAGGCCGCCGGCCGCCGGCCGCCGGCGGCGGACCAACGGCCTGGCCGCCGGCCGCCGACCAACGGCAAGGCCGCCGGCCGCCGACCAACGGCAAGGCCGCCGGCCGCCGGCCGCCGACCAACGGCCCGGCCGCCGGCCGACGACCAACGGCAAGGCCGCCGGCCGCAGGCCGACGACCAACGGCAAGGGCGCCGGCCGCCGACCAACGGCAAGGCCGCCGGCCGCCGACCAACGGCATCGCCGCCGGCCGCCGACCAACGGCAAGGCCGCCGGCCCACGGCAAGGCCGCCGGCCGCCGGCCAACGGCAAGGCCGCCTGCCCCCGGCCAACGGCAAGGCCGCCGGCCGCCGGCCAACGGCAAGGCCGCCGGCCAACGGCAAGGCCGCCGGCCGCCGACCAACGGCAAGGCCGCCGGCCGCCGGCCGCCGATGAACGGCAAAGCCGCCGGCCGCTGGCCAACGGCAAGGCCGCCGGCCGCCGACCAACGGCAAGGCCGCCGGCCGCCGGCCGCCGATCAACGGCAAGGCCGCCAGCCGCCGGCCAACGGCAAGGCCGCCGACCAACGGCAAGGCCGCCGACCACCGGCAAGGCCGCCGGCCGTCGGCCACCGACCAACGGCAAGGCCGCCGGACGCCGACCAGCGGCAAGGCCGCCGGCCAACGGCAAGGCCGCCGGCCGCCGACCAACAACAAGGCCGCCGGCCGCCGACCAACGGCAAGGCCGCCGGCCGCCGACCCACGGCAAGGCCGCCGGCTGCCGGCCGCCGACCAACGGCAAGGCAGCCGGCCGCCGACCAACGGCAAGGCAGCCGGCCGCCGACCAACGGCAAGGCAGCCGGCCGCCGACCAACGGCAAGGCCTCCGACCAACGGCAAGGCCGCCGGCCGCCGGCCGCCGACCAACGGCCCGGCCGCCGGCCGCCGGCCGACGACCAACGGCAAGGCCGCCGGCCGCCGGCCGACGACCAACGGCAAGGCCGCCGGCCGCCGACCAACGGCAAGGCCGCCGGCCGCCGACCAACGGCATCGCCGCCGGCCGCCGACCAACGGCAAGGCCGCAGGTCGCTGACCAACGGCAAGGCCGCCGGCCACCGGCCGCCGACCAACGGCAAGGCCGCCGGCCGCCGGCCAACGGCAAGGCCGCCGTCCAACGGCAAGGCGGCCGCCGACCGCCGGCCCACGGCGAGGCCGCCGGCCGCCGGCCGCCGACCAACGGCGAGGCCGCCGGCCGCCGGCCGCCGGCGGCGGACCAACGGCCTGGCCGCCGGCCGCCGACCAACGGCAAGGCCGCCGGCCGCCGACCAACGGCAAGGCCGCCGGCCGCCGGCCGCCGACCAACGGCCCGGCCGCCGGCCGCCGGCCGACGACCAACGGCAAGGCCGCCGGCCGCAGGCCGACGACCAACGGCAAGGGCGCCGGCCGCCGACCAACGGCAAGGCCGCCGGCCGCCGACCAACGGCATCGCCGCCGGCCGCCGACCAACGGCAAGGCCGCCGGCCCACGGCAAGGCCGCCGGCCGCCGGCCAACGGCAAGGCCGCCTGCCCCCGGCCAACGGCAAGGCCGCCGGCCGCCGGCCAACGGCAAGGCCGCCGGCCAACGGCAAGGCCGCCGGCCGCCGACCAACGGCAAGGCCGCCGGCCGCCGGCCGCCGATGAACGGCAAAGCCGCCGGCCGCTGGCCAACGGCAAGGCCGCCGACCAACGGCAAGGCCGCCGACCACCGGCAAGGCCGCCGGCCGCCGGCCGCCGACCAACGGCAAGGCCGCCGGTCGCCGGCCGCCGACCAACGGCAAGGCCGCCGGCCGCCGACCAATGGCAAGGCCGCCGACCAACGGCCTCCGACCAACGGCAAGGCCGCCGGCCGCCGACCAACGGCAAGGCCGCCGACCAACGGCAAGGCCGCCGGCCGACGACAAACGGCAAGGCCGCCGGCCCCGGACCAACGGCAAGGCCGCCGGCCGCCGACCAACGGCAAGGCCGCCGGCCGCCGGCCAACGGCAAGGCCGCCGTCCAACGGCAAGGCCGCCGGCCGCCGGCCGCCGATCAACGGCAAGGCCGCCGACCAACGGCAAGGCCGCCGACCAACGGCAAGGCCGCCGGCCGCCGACCCACGGCAAGGCCGCCGGCCGCCGACCCACGGCAAGGCCGCCGGCCGCCGACCCACGGCAAGGCCGCCGGCCGCCGACCCACGGCAAGGCCGCCGGCCGCCGACCCACGGCAAGGCCGCCGGCCGCCGACCCACGGCAAGGCCGCCGGCCGCTGGCCGCCGATGAACGGCAAGGCCGCCGACCGCCGGCCGCCGATGAACGGCAAAGCCGCCGGCCGCCGGCCAACGGCAAGGCCGCCGACCAACGGCAAGGCCGCCGACCACCGGCTGCCGACCAACGGCAAGGCCGCCGGTCGCCGGCCGCCGACCAACGGCAAGGCCGCCGGCCGCCGACCAACGGCAAGGCCGCCGGCCGCCGGCCGCCGACCAACGGCAAGGCCGCCGGCCGCCGACCAACGGCAAGGCCGCCGGCCGACGACAAACGGCAAGGCCGCCGACCCCGGACCAACGGCAAGGCCGCCGGCCGCCGACCAACGGCAAAGCCGCCGGCCGCCGGCCAACGGCAAGGCCGCCGTCCAACGGCAAGGCCGCCGGCCGCCGATCAACGGCAAGGCCGCCGACCAACGGCAAGGCCGCCGACCAACGGCAAGGCCGCCGGCCGCCGACCCACGGCAAGGCCGCCGGCCGCCGACCCACGGCAAGGCCGCCGGCCGCCGACCCACGGCAAGGCCGCCGGCCGCCGACCCACGGCAAGGCCGCCGGCCGCCGACCCACGGCAAGGCCGCCGGCCGCCGACCAACGGCAAGGCCGCCGGCCGACGACAAACGGCAAGGCCGCCGGCCCCGGACCAACGGCAAGGCCGCCGGCCGCCGACCAACGGCAAAGCCGCCGGCCGCCGGCCAACGGCAAGGCCGCCGTCCAACGGCAAGGCCGCCGGCCGCCGATCAACGGCAAGGCCTCCGACCAACGGCAAGGTCGCCGACCACCGGCAAGGCCGCCGGCCGCCGGCCGCCGACCAACGGCAAGGCCGCCGGTCGCCGGCCGCCGACCAACGGCAAGGCCGCCGGCCGCTGACCAATGGCAAGGCCGCTGGCCGCCGGCCGCCGACCAACGGCAAGGCCGCCGGCCGCCGACCAACGGCAAGGCCGCCGACCAACGGCAAGGCCGCCGGCCGACGACAAACGGCAAGGCCGCCGGCCCCGGACCAACGGCAAGGCCGCCGGCCGCCGGCCGCCGGCCAACGGCAAGGCCGCCGTCCAACGGCAAGGCCGCCGGCCGCCGGCCGCCGATCAACGGCAAGGCCGCCGGCCGCCGGCCGCCGATCAACGGCAAGGCCGCCGGCCGCCGGCCGCCGATCAACGGCAAGGCCGCCGACCAACGGCAAGGCCGCCGACCCACGGCGAGGCCGCCGGCCGCCGGCCCACGGCGAGGCCGCCGGCCGCCGGCCCACGGCGAGGCCGCCGGCCAACGGCAAGGCCGCCGTCCAACGGCAAGGCCGCCGGCCGCCGACCGACGGCAAGGCCGCCGGCCGACGACCCACGGCAAGGCCGCCGGCCGCCGACCCACGGCAAGGCCGCCGGCCGCCGACCCACGGCAAGGCCGCCGTGTCAACATATATTTTATATGTTTAGTTTTTGTTAGTCTAGGTGTACCATTTCATATTCCTAGGGTTAGCTATATCCTCTTCTATCTCGTTTCCCTTAGTCAATCTTTTCACCCGTTCTAGTCTCGACATGGTATAGAGCTAGTCGACCCTATGGGCCCACCGCCCCGTGCCCCGACCTAGGAACGTAGCCACTTAATACCCGAAGCGCCCTGATACCCCCCCCTTAGCTCGCGCGTCACCCGTAGTGCCCTGAGCGCGTCATCCGTTTAGCCCAGAGCGTCACCCGTTTTTTTTTTCACCCGCGCCTCACCCGTTTTCTGCCCCGTGCGTAGCTCGCCAGCCCGCTAGCGCGCAGCAGGCCCATGCGCACGTGCAGTCGTAGCCGCACATGCGACCGCGCGCACGCGCAGCATTAGCCGCACGCACGTGCAGCATTAGCCGTACGCACGCGCGGCATTAGGAGCACGCACGCGCGGCATTAGCAGCATGCACGCGCGGCCATAGCTGCACGCACGCGCAGCAATAGCCGCACGCACGCACAGCCCGCCAGCTGCGGTACCGTCTCACCCGTCCCCGCTGACCCACCTGGTGCCCGCTGTACCACCCGTCCCAGCCGCCCCACCAGTTACTCTCCCCCGCCCAGAACCGTACAGCACCACGTAGAAACGCACAGAACCGTGCGACACCGCCCAGAACCTTACCTGCTGACCCATCCGCACCAGCCAGAGCTGCTACCCCACCCCGTACTCTCCACCGCACTGAACCGTGCAGAACCGCGCAGAACCGGGCAGAACCGCACTGAACCGTGCAGAACCGCGCAGAACCGGGCAGAACCGCACAGAATTGCGCAGAACAGCACAGAATCGTGCGGCGCCGCCCAGAACTTTACCTGCTGACCCACCCACACTAGCCAGAGCTGCTACCCCACCCGGTACTCTCCCTCGCACAGAACCGTGCAGCACCGCACTGAACAGGGCAGAACTGCACAGAACCACGCAGCACCGCACAGAACTGCACCCACTGCCCCACCTGTACCAGCCAGAGCTGCTGCCCCACCCGTTCCCGTCACCACACCAGTAACCGGCCGCTTCCACCCCCCGGGTCAGTGCTTTGCACAGCTCACTGACCGCTACCGTGCGCAGTTTGGCCCCACCCGCACTGTCCCCGATTGGGCCTCACTGGCTCGTTCTGTTGGCCCGCAGTTGTATAGCATGACTGCACCTCAGTTAGATGAGGCTGTGCGTTCTATGTCTGTGATGTATGCCGATGACTCTATTGTTGATGATTTTGCGTACTATTCCTGTTTCTCTAGCTTAGGTGCTGTAGAGGTTGCTAGTGCTTTCCCTGCTAGCGTAGCTTGTCCAGGTTCGACCACCGAGACTGCGTCCCTGTCGTTCACACTCGACTCTGGGGCGTCCAGCTGTTTCTTTCGTGACCGCACCGACCTCACACCACTACGCACCCCCGTCACTGTTGCCTTGGCCAACCCCTCTGTGGGACCTGTGGTTGCTCGCAGCACCACCACTCTCCCGTGTCCGGCTGCTCCCTCTGGGGTCCTTACAGGTTACTACACCCCCTCGTTCTCTAGGAACCTGGTGGGTGTCAGCCACCTCCACGACCTCGGAGTAGTCACCACTTTTCCCTTAGAGGAGTCAGTTGCCTCCTGCACAGTCGGTACCACTGGGGCCCCTCTGGCCACCTTTCGCAGGGAGCCGGGCTCTGGTCTGTACTCACTACACACCGGGTCCCACCACACTGGGTCAGGTCTGGTCAGGTCAGGTCAGGTAGCCGCTGTGTCGTGTGACTGTCGGTCCCTCACCCACCCGTCGGTCCTCTGGCACCACCGTCTAGGTCACCCGTCGTTCCCACGTCTCAGTAGGATGGCACGTCACCGTCTGGTCTCAGGTCTCCCAGCGTCGCTTGCCCCGCTTCCCCGCTCTCCAGCGCCGCCGTGCACTCCTTGCGTCGAGGGTCGGCAGCGCGCTGCCCCTCACTCCTCCTCGTTCCCCCCCACCACGTCTCCCTTCCAGACCCTGCACTTGGACGTCTGGGGCCCCTCCCCGGTCCTTGGCCCACGTCAGGAGCGCTACTTCCTGATTGTGGTGGACGACTACTCCCGCTACACCACGGTTTTCCCTTTGCGACGGAAGGCCGACGTGCCTACCGTCCTCGAGCCGTGGCTACTAGCGAGGGGTGGCGCCCAGGGCCTGTGTGGGCTCCGTCTACACTCGGATCGTGGTGGTGAGTTCTCTTCCACTCGACTGGAGACGTTCTGTCAGGGTCGGGGGATTATCCAGTCTTACACGTTACCAGCCTCGCCGCAGCAGAACGGGGTAGCCGAGCGTCGCATCGGCCTAGTCTCGACACGCCGGCCGCCGACCAACGGCAAGGCCGCCGGCCGCCGACCAACGGCATCGCCGCCGGCCGCCGACCAACGGCAAGGCCGCCGGCCAACGGAAAGGCCGCCGGCCGCCGGCCGCCGACCAACGGCAAGGCCGCCAGCCGCAGGCCGACGACCAACGGCAAGGCCGCCGGCCGCCGACCAACGGCAAGGCCGCCGGCCGCCGACCAACTGCATCGCCGCCGGCCGCCGACCAACGGCAAGGCCGCCGGCCAACGGCAAGGCCGCCGGCCCCTGGCCAACGGCAAGGCCGCCGACCAACGGCAAGGCCGCCGGCCGCCGACCAACGGCAAGGCCGCCGGCCGCCGACCAAGGCAAGGCCGCTGACCAACGGCAAGGCCGCCGGCCGCCGGCCAACGGCAAGGCCGCCGGCCGCCGGCCAACGGCAAGGCCGCCGACCAACGGCAAGGCCGCCGACCACCGGCAAGGCCGCCGGCCGCCGACCAACGGCAAGGCCGCCGGTCGCCGGCCGCCGACCAACGGCAAGGCCGCCGGCCGCCGACCAAGGCAAGGCCGCCGGCCGCCGACCAACGGCAAGGCCGCCGGCCGCCGACCAACGGCAAGGCCGCCGCCGCCGACCAACGGCAAGGCCGCCGGCCGCCGGCCGACGACCAACGGCAAGGCCGCCTGCCTGTCGCGATATATATTTTATATATATTTCTAACTGCCTGTAGCTTTAGCTTTAGTGTAGTTATGCTTTCGTACTATTGGTGGTGTACCCTCTCATGTTTGCTATATGTATCCCAATGCTATAGTGAAACCACAATCATTCTCGACATACCTCCTTGCACAAACTCCTCGACACCCGCTTGGCCTAGGCTACTAAGCCTAGGCCCTTAAACTCGCCTGCTAAGCTAAGTTAGTTAGTTGACACGGCCAACGGCAAGGCCGCCGTCCAACGGCAAGGCCGCCGGCCGCCGACCAACGGCAAGGCCGCCGACCAACGGCAAGGCCGCCGACCAACGGCAAGGCCGCCGGCCGCCGACCAACGGCAATGTCAACATATATTTTATATGTGTTGTTTAGGTTAGTCTAGGTGTTACATTTTTACTTACTTGCATGATTAGGGTTAGCTATATCTAGGGTTGTACTTCACATTTTCTATCAATTTCATTCTTATCGTAACATGGTAAGAGCTAGGTTTCCCCTAGGCGATTTTTCCCCTAGGCGATTTTTCCCCTAGGCGAAATTTCTCTCGATAGTCTATGGGCCCACCACCCGCGCGCCTCGTAGCGACCCGTAGCCCGAAGCGCCCTGCCCCGTAGAGCCCGAGTAGGCCGCGCCCCCCGTCGCCATCGCGCGTCACCCGTTTCTGCCCTGCGCCCCACCCGTTTTTGCCGTGCGTCACTCGGTTTTCTGCCCCGCGCCCCACTCGTTTTACCCCGCGCGTTGCCCCTCAGCCCTCTAGCGCGCAGCAGACGAACGCGCGTAGCTGCGCGCGCAGCCTTAGTCGCACCCGCAGCTCCGCGCTAGTACGTCGCGACCGCACGCACGTGCAGCAACAGCCGCGTGCACGTGCAGCCCACCGTCTTAACCGCCCCCAGACCTGAAAACCCGCCATTACAGACCTGAAATCCGCCGCCGAACCTGGAAACCCGCCGCCCCAGACCTGAAAACCGCCGCCCCAGACCTGACAACCGCCGCCCCACCTGGAAACCTGCTGCCCCACCCGTTCCAGGCACCTCACCCGGAATCAGCCGCCCCACCCAGTACTCTCCACCGCATTGAACCACACAGAACCGCACAGAACTGCACATAACCACACAGAACCGCACAGAACCGCCGCCTCACCTTCCCCACCCGTAGCCCGCTGCCTTAACAGCTTCCCCACCTGAAACCCGCCTCCCCACGAGCTGCACCAGCAGCAGCACCAGCAGCAGCATATGCTGCCCCCAGCAGAGCCAGAAGCAGCATAGGCTGCCCCCAGCGAACCAGCAGCAGCTTAGGCTACCGCCAGCGCACCAGCAGCAGCATTGGCTGCCCCCTGGAGAACCAGTAGCAGCCTAGGCTTCCCCCCAGCAGAACCAGAAGCAGCACAGGCTGCCCCCAGCGCACCAGCAGCAGCTTAGGCTGCCCCCAGCAAAACCAGCAGCAGCATAGGCTGCCCCCAGCGCACCAGTAGCACTATAGGCTGCCGCCAGCGCACCACCAGCAGCTTAGGCTTCCCCCAGCAGAACCAGCAGCAGCTTAGGCTCACATGGCGTGTACCCGAGAGCAAGCAAGGGGCCACAAGGCCAGTCCACATGCAGGTATACAGCAAATATAAAGAGATGCAAGAGTACAAGACATGCAGGACAAGGCATCTCTAAATAAGCAAGTGAGGACGGGCAGGCACAAGGCCAAGCTGGGTGCAGAAACGCTGGTGGTCACAAGGCGGCAACGCCTTGGTGAAGATATCTGCCGTGTTGGCCTCAGAGACCACACGTCGAACGAGTGCCTGGCCACGCTGCTGCAACTCACGCAGAAGGAAGTAACGAAGCTGGATGTGCTTCGCCTTCCCAACCAGTCGGGGCTCCTCACACAACAGGACGGCAGACCTGTTGTCGGCGAACAAGACTGGGGGAGAGCGAGGCCGCTCACCAAGGTCGGTGAGAAGGAAAGACAGCCAGCGAAGCTCCTGAGCGGCCATGGCCGCAGCGTACACCTCTGCCTCACAGCTGGAACCGGCGACGGACGACGCCCGAGTCGACCGCCACGAAACAGCGCCTGCCCCGAGGCTAAAGGAGTACTCCTGTGTAGACCGAAAACGTCTCCGCGTTGTCGGCCCACGACGAGTCCGAGTAACCTGTGAGTGTAACTGGCTGCTTCCCTCCAAGAACAAGTCCCATGCCTGATGTACTCGCCACATACTTCGCCACCCTCTTAGCAGCGTACCAGTGGGAAGTTCGGTGTCTCCCAGGCGCAACAAAGCGCGCAAGGATGCTAAGAGGGTAAGCTAGGTCTGGGCGAGTGCAGGTCATCAGGTACATGAGACAACCCACCAGCTCAGGATATGGACCACTTGACTCAAATGACTCGTCCGAAGGTGGAGCCGTGAGCCCATGATCCACACCAAGAGGGGTGAGCTGTACCTTGGAGAACGGGAAGCGAAACCGCGTGAGGATCTGCTCGACCATATGCGACTGAGTCAGCGTAATGGTGCGAGCTGCCCTGTTTCTGGTGATCTGCAGGCCAAGGTAGTGCTGCAGCTCACCAAGGTCAGTGCAAGTGTGTCTCCTCTGCAGTTCCTCCTTCACGGAGGCCAGCGCGCGTCGGTCGGGAGTGGCGAACACCAGGTCGTCGACGTAGACCAGGACAAAGAACGGGGTCGAGCCACGGCGAACGAACAGTGACGGGTCAGCAGACGACGGAAAGAAGTCAAGGGCTGCAAGGGTCGAGCGAAGTGTGTCGTGCCACTCACGTGGGGCCTGACGCAGGCCGTAGACTGGTCGACGCAGCTGCCACTGGGTCCCAGGTGGGAAAGAGCCAGTGAAGCCAGGCGGGCGACGCAGCCAGATCTGCTCGTGCAGGCTCCCTTGAAGGAACGCGGTGGAAAAGTCCAAGGAGTGCAACTCGTAGTCGTGCTGGGCTGCAATATGCAGCAACACCCGAAGAGTACTCATCTTCGGGGTGGGAGCGAAGGTCTGGAAGAAGTCCACCCCCTCTCGCTGACTGAAGCCTCTCGCCACATAGCGCGCCTTGAACACAGGTGGTGATCCAGGCGGCCGCTTCACCTTGTAGAGCCATCGGCCACTGACGACGTTCGTCCCAGGTGGTGGGACTGCGTCGACGTAAGTGCCAGTGGACCTATAAGATGCCATCTCTGCCTCCTCAGCTGCTATCCAGTACGAAGCCCAGGGTCCCGAGACCGCCTCGGCGTGAGTGCGAGGGATCGGGATGTCAAGGGCGTCTGGATCCCCCTCAGGGGCAAGCAGCATGGCGCAGAGATGAGGAACAGTGGCCGCAAGGAAACCAAGCTCGAACTGCCTGTCCTCTAGGACCTCCAGGGGAAAGACAGGAGCACCCGCAGAGGACGGAGAACGAGCAGGGCCACTCACCAAGTGAGCGGCGTAGTCAAGGCGGTGGGAAGAGGCAAAGCCAGAGACAGTGGTAACAAGTGCTGAGACAGACGACAGAGGTGCAGTCGGGTGAGTGACCAACGCGGACAAAACACGGGAGACGACAGGACGGGAGGCACGGAGGTAGTCGGACAACGGGTCGTGAAGCACAGTGAGGGACGACTCAGGGGGCTGTGGAAGGACAGGAGGAGGTGGAACACGAGAGCGGAGAACAAGGTGAAACGGACCGTCTGCACGGTAACGGGACCGACGGGGCTGTGGAGACACAGCACGACTGAGGGGAGGACGACGAGTCCACTGGGACGAGGAAAGGGACTCAACAGGGGGAACAGGAGGGGACGGTAGGGGACCACGAACAAAGCGTACAGGTGCTGGGTCGGGGAGGTCGCGTAGTCGCAGTCGCTGCTGCTCCGCCTCCTCTGGCGTCTGCTGCGACGGTACCGGCCCCTGCTGCTGCTCCTGTGGCTCCGCCTCTGCCCTCTCCTGCTGCGGCTGCAGCTGCACCCGCTGCTGCGACCGGGACTCCTGCGCTACCCTCTCCTGCTGCGGCCGTAACTCCTCCTCTACTCTCTCCTGCTGGGTCTGTAACTGCACCTGCTGCTGCGGGTGGGACTCCTGCTCTACCCTCTCCTGGTGCGGCCATGACTGCTCCTCTACTCTCTCCTGCTGTGTCTGTAACTGCACCTGCTGCTGCAGGCGGGACTCCTGCTCTACCCTCTCCTGGTGCGGCCGTGACTCCTCCTCTACCCTCTCCTGCTGTGGCTGCAGCTGCACCCGCTGCTGCGACCGGGACTCCTGCGCTACCCTCTCGTGCTGCTGCTGTGACTCCTCCTCTACTCTCTCCTTCTGCTGCTGCTGCTGCTGCTGCTGCTGCTGCTGCTGCTGCTGCTGTGCCCTCTCAAACCGCTCATGCTCCTCCCTCTCCAACCGGAGGAGACGCTGCTCACGGGTCAGGAAACGTACAGTGCGCGGTGTAGGCGCCACAGTGCCAGTGCCTCCAGCTCCAGCACCCCCAGAATCAGCACCTCCACCACCGACACCCTCGGGGCCTCCAGTACCTCCCGCAGGAACACCCCTAGGCTCCGCAGCAACCGGCCGCAAAGAAGAACGAGGAGGAAACTGCGGGATGGACGGGAAGCCAGGGGGTGAGGCAGGGCGAGGCCGCCGACTCGAGGCTGCCGTGTCCTCCACAGGAGTGACCTCCACGCCCACAACCCCTGCACCCCCAGAGCCGACACCACCAGCTCTTGCAGCCCCAGTACCCTCACCCTCCGCAACTGCACCTCCCGCACCCCCAGACACGACAGGGACTGGACGCTGCGGGGGGGACGACTGCGGAGTGACGTGCGACACACCTGACGGGGCAGGACGCGAAGGGGGGGGGGCTACCGGGGCGACTGGTGGGGGCTCAAGGGTGAGGAACAGCGGGGGGGAAAAGACCTCGGTACCTCGCTGGGGGCGACTCCTGTAGTAACAGACAGACTCGTCGAACGTGACGTCCTGAGAGGCGAAGAACTGGTAGGTGACCGGGTCGTAGAACACCCAGCCGGAGGCGTCCAGAGGGAAGCCAAGAAAGACGCAGGCACGAGTGCGCGGAGACAACTTGTTCGCGCCAGGGGCGCGAACGTGAGCCAGAGAACCCCAGACACGGAAGTCAGCTGCTACGCCCGGAGAACCTGCCCAAAGGGAGACCGGCGTCACCCGTGGCCGTGCGTCACTGGGCCACAGGTTCAGCTGGTGCGCGGCGTAGCGGACTGCCTGAGGCCACAAGAACTGGGGGGCACCGGCATGGCACATGGAGGTCCGGGCAACCTCCATGACCAGGCCGATGCGTCGCTCGGCTACCCCGTTCTGCTGCGGCGAGGCTGGTAGCGTGTAAGACTGGATGATCCCCCGACCCTGACAGAACGTCTCCAAGCGAGTGGAAGAAAACTCACCACCACGGTCCGAGTGTAGGCGAAGCCCACACAGGCCCTGGGCGCCACCCCACGCTAGTAGCCACGGCTCGAGGACGGTAGGCACGTCGGCCTTCCGTCGCAAGGGGAAAACCGTGGTGTAGCGGGAGTAGTCGTCCACCACAATCAGGAAGTAGCGCTCCTGACGTGGTCCAAGGATCGGGGAGGGGCCCCAGACGTCCAAGTGCAGGGTCTGGAAGGGAGCTGTGGTGGGGGGGAACGAGGAGGAGTGAGGGGCAGCGCGCTGCCGACCCTCGACGTAAGGAGTGCACAGCGGCGCAGGCGAGCGAGGAAGCGGGGCAAGCGACTCTGGGAGACCGGAGACTAGACGGTAACTTGCCATCCTACTGAGACGTGGGAACGACGGGTGACCTAGACGGTGGTGCCAGAGGACAGACGGGTGGGCGAGGGAGCGACAGTCGCACGACACAGCAACTACCTGACCTGACCTGACCTGGCCTGACCCAGTGCGGTGGGACCCTGTGTGTAGTGAGTACAGACCAGAGCCCGGCTCCCGGTGAAAAGTGGCCAGAGGGGCCCCAGTGGTACCGACTGTGCAGGAGGCAACAGGCTCGTCCAGTGGGAAAGTGGTGACTACACCTAGGTCGTGGAGGTGACTGACACCCACCAGGTTCCTAGAGAACGAGGGGGTATAGTAACCTGTAAGAAAACCTGAGGGAGCCGCCGGACACGGGAGGGTGGTGGTGCTGCGAGCAACTACAGGTCCCACAGAGGGGTCAGCCAAGGCGACAGTGACTGGAGTGCGCAGTGGTGTGAGGTCAGTACAGTCGCGAAAGAAACAGCTGGACGCTCCTGAGTCTAGGGTGAAGGAAAGGTGTGCAGTCTGTGAGGTCGCACCCGAACCAGCTACAAAGGTGGCTGCAGCTCCTACACAAAGACCCTCAGAGGCGCCTGGACTGGAAACAACACACGCACCAAGACTGGAAACACAGGTCTCTACTCGTGCAGCCGGGAACAGTCCTAGACCTAGCAGGTGGGACTCAACTGGTGCAGCAGTGCGCTGGCAAAGACGCGAGGGCCAGTGCGGTGTAATAGCGTGAGAACCAAACCGCTCACGGTGGAGGTCGTCGAGTCGACGGTAGCAGCTGGACGCTGAGTGGTCAGGACTCCAGCAGGTGGTGCCAGCACCAGGGCCTATCAGGGCCCGGTACCCGCAGGGGCCGACGTCTCGCCCACTGCTAGCTGAGCCACTGCTGGGGGCTCCGCCCTGTGGACCCGCAAGTCCCCACTGCCAGGAGTGCTGCGGCTGGCCCTGCTGCTGTAGTGCTGCGGAGTGTGTGGTGACTTTGAGCTCCACCCTGAGATTTGTCTTGTTCTTGTGGACTGGTCTTGTGACCGTTGCTTGCTCTTGTTGTTTCTACAGGACTTCCGTCACTTAGACTATGGGGGTGTGTCAATATATATTTTATATGTGTTGTTTAGGTTAGTCTAGGTGTTACATTTTTACTTACTTGCATGATTAGGGTTAGCTATATCTAGGGTTGTACTTCACATTTTCTATCAATTTCATTCTTATCGTAACAGGCAAGACCGCCGGCCGCCGGCCGCCGACCAACGTCAAGGCCGCCGGCCGCCGACCAACGGCCCGGCCGCCGGCCGCCGACCAACGGCCCGGCCGCCGGCCGCCGACCAACGGCAAGGCCGCCGGCCGCCGACCAACGGCAAGGCCGCCGGCCGCCAGCCGACGACCAACGGCAAGGCCGCCGGCCGCCGACCAACGGCAAGGCCGACGGCCGCCGACCGCCGGCCGCCGACCAACGGCAAGGCCGCCGGCCGCCGACCAACGGCAAGGCCGCCAGCCGCCGGCCGCCGACCAACGGCAAGGCCGCCGGCCGCCGACCAACGGCGAGGCTGCCGGTCGCCGGCCGCCGACCAACGGCAAGGCCGCGGGCCGCCGACCAACGGCAAGGCCTCCGACCAACGGCAAGGCCGCCGGCCGCCGACCAACGGCCCGGCCGCCGGCCGCCGGCCGCCGACCAACGGCAAGGCCGCCGGCCGCCGACCAACGGCAAGGCCGCCGGCCGCCGACCAACGGCAAGGCCGCCGGCCGCCGACCAACGGCAAGGCCGCCGGCCGCCGACCAACGGCAAGGCCGCCGGCCGCCGACCAACGGCAAGGCCGCCGGCCAACGGCAAGGCCGCCGGCCAACGGCAAGGCCGCCGGCCCCCGGCCAACGGCAAGGCCGCAGGCCGCCGGCCGCCGACCAACGGCAAGGCCGCCGGCCGCCGGCCGCCGACCAACGGCAAGGCCGCCGGCCGCCGACCAAGGCAAGGCCGCCGGCCGCCGACCAAGGCAAGGCCGCCGGCCGCCGACCAACGGCAAGGCCGCCGGCCGACGACAAACGGCATCGCCGCCGGCCGCCGACCATCGGCAAGGCCGCAGGCCGCCGGCCAACGGCAAGGCCGCCGTCCAACGGCAAGGCCGCCGGCCGCCGGCCGCCGACCAACGGCAAGGCCGCCGGCCGCCGACCAACGGCAAGGCCGCCGGCCGCCGACCCACGGCAAGGCCGCCGGCCGCCGACCAACGGCAAGGCCGCCGGCCGCCGACCAACGGCAAGGCCGCCGGCCGCCGACCAACGGCAAGGCCGCCGGCCGCCGACCAACGGCCCGGCCGCCGGCCGCCGACCAACGGCAAGGCCGCCGGCCGCCGACCAACGGCAAGGCCGCCGGTCCCCCACCCACGGCAAGGCCGCCGGCTGCCGACAAACGGCATCGCCGCCGGCCGCCGACAAACGGCATCGCCGCCGGCCGCCGACCAACGGCAAGGCCGCCGGCCTCCGGCCAACGGCAAGGCCGCCGACCAACGGCAAGGCCGCCGGCCAACGGCAAGGCCGCCGGCCAACGGCAAGGCCGCCGACCCACGGCAAGGCCGCCGGCCGCCGGCCAACGGCAAGGCCGCCGACCAAGGGCAAGGCCGCCGGCCAACGGCAAGGCCGCCGACCGACGACCAACGGCAAGGCCGCAGGCCGCCGACCAACGGCAAGGCCGCCGGCCGCCGACCAACGGCAAGGCCTCCGACCAACGGCAAGGCCGCCGGCCGCCGACCAACGGCCCGGCCGCCGGCCGCCGACCAACGGCCCGGCCGCCGGCCGCCGGCCGCCGACCAACGGCCCGGCCGCCGGCCGCGGGCCGCCGACCAACGGCAAGGCCGCCGGCCGCCGACCAACGGCAAGGCCGCCGGCCGCCGACCAACGGCAAGGCCGCCGGCCGCCGACCAACGGCAAGGCCGCCGGCCGCCGACCAACGGCAAGGCCGCCGGCCGCCGACCAACGGCAAGGCCGCCGGCCAACGGCAAGGCCGCCGACCCACGGCAAGGCCGCCGGCCGCCGGCCAACGGCAAGGCCGCCGGCCCCCGGCCAACGGCAAGGCCGTAGGCCGCCGGCCGCCGACCAACGGCAAGGCCGCCGGCCGCCGACCAACGGCAAGGCCGCCGGCCGCCGACCAACGGCAAGGCCGCCGGCCGCCGACCAAGGCAAGGCCGCCGGCCGCCGACCAACGGCAAGGCCGCCGACCAACGGCAAGGCCGCCGGCCGACGACAAACGGCATCGCCGCCGGCCGCCGACCATCGGCAAGGCCGCAGGCCGCCGGCCAACGGCAAGGCCGCCGTCCAACGGCAAGGCCGCCGGCCGCCGGCCGCCGACCAACGGCAAGGCCGCCGACCAACGGCAAGGCCGCCGGCCGCCGACCAACGGCAAGGCCGCCGGCCGCCGACCCACGGCAAGGCCGCCGGCCGCCGACCCACGGCAAGGCCGCCGGCCGCCGACCAACGGCAAGGCCGCCGGTCGCCGGCCGCCGACCAACGGCAAGGCCGCCGGCCGCCGACCAACGGCAAGGCCGCCGGCCGCCGACCAACGGCAAGGCCGCCGGCCGCCGACCAACGGCAAGGCCGCCGGCCGCCGACCAACGGCAAGGCCGCCGGTCCCCCACCCACGGCAAGGCCGCCGGCCGCCGACAAACGGCATCGCCGCCGGCCGCCGACAAACGGCATCGCCGCCGGCCGCCGACCAACGGCAAGGCCGCCGGCCTCCGGCCAACGGCAAGGCCGCCGACCAACGGCAAGGCCGCCGGCCAACGGCAAGGCCGCCGGCCAACGGCAAGGCCGCCGACCCACGGCAAGGCCGCCGGCCGCCGGCCAACGGCAAGGCCGCCGACCAAGGGCAAGGCCGCCGGCCAACGGCAAGGCCGCCGACCGACGACCAACGGCAAGGCCGCAGGCCGCCGACCAACGGCAAGGCCGCCGGCCGCCGACCAACGGCAAGGCCGCCGGCCGCCGACCAACGGCAAGGCCGCCGGCCGCCGACCAACGGCAAGGCCACCGTCCAACGGCAAGGCCGCCGGCCGACGACCCACGGCAAGGCCGCCGGCCGCCGACCCACGGCAAGGCCGCCGGCCGCCGACCAACGGCAAGGCCGCCGGTCGCCGGCCACCGACCAACGGCAAGGCCGCCGGCCGCCGACCAACGGCGAGGCCACCGGCCGCCGACCAACGGGGAGGCCGCCGACCGACGACCAACGGCGAGGCCGCCGACCGACGACCAACGGCGAGGCCGCCGGCCGCCGACCCACGGCAAGGCCGCCGGCCGCCGACCAACGGCAAGTGTCAAGCTATATTTGTTATAGCTTCTATTGTTAGTCTAGGTGTATTTTCTACTTGTTGGGGTTAGGGTTAGGTTTCCTATATACTTGTTGTACTTTCCACTTCTAGTCATTCTTATTTCTTAACATGGTATAGAGCTAGGTTTACCCTAGCTAGGGTTTCCCCTAGCGTTTTCACTCTCGATAGTTGGGCCCACCGAAATCGCTACTAGAGCGCGCCCCGTCCTAACGCGCGCCCCTTAGGTCGTCGCCCGTCGCCCGTAGCGCGCCCGGCGTCAGCAGCTCTCCCGTCGCCCGTCGTTTTTCCGTCGCCCGTCGATTTTCCCCTCCCGTCGCCCGTCGATTTTTTCCCTCCCGTCGGCCGTCGCCCGTCCGTTTCCCTCGCGCGCCCCACTCGTCGCCCGTCGAACGACAGTAGAACGCGGGCCCCGCGGCCCTTGTTCGTTAGCAGGCCTCGCGGCCTGTCTAGGGTCGACGTAGAGAGCCGCGCGACCAGTGATTGACGGCCCCGTGGCCCGAGTTAGCTGGCCCCGCGCGACCCCCCGTGTTCCCCTTCATTTCCGCCCGTCTCCCGCGACCTTTCGCCCGTACCCTGCGTTCCGCGGCTTACTACGACCCTATCCCGCCTCTCCCTAGCTACGAACGCCGCCATTTACCCCAACAACCGCTCTCCACCCCAACAACCGCTCTCCACCCCTTTTCAACCGCTCCCAAACCACTGCACCGCAATCAACCGCACCAGATCCGCCTCTCGACTGCAGTAGAACACTCCCAACCGCGAGATATCGATCCCCACCGCTCTAGACCTCCCTCGACCGCACCAAAACCGCCCTTCCCCGCTCTCAACCTGTCCCAACCGCCCTTCACCGCACTCAACAGCACCAGATCGTTTTCCACTGCTCTAGACCTCTCTCAACCGCACCAAACACGCACTCAACTGCACCAGGTTGCTCTTAGCCGCCCTCGTCCGTCCCTAGCCTCACCCAACCGCGTAGAGGGCCTCTCTCTCGCCCTAGGCGCCTCCCACTACTATGGCGACTGTTCTGGAGTTCGACCCTGAGGGTCGCCCTGTCGGTTTCCCGGCATGGCTGCGGAAGCTTAAGCTCTACCTCGGCAGTCGTCTCGAGAATGACATCCCTCTTTCCGAGCATGCCGCTGGTGAGCTGAAAGCCCCCCCCACTCCCGCTCCGCTTGGTGACGATGCGTCAGCAGATGCCCAGGCTGCCTATGCCCAGCGTCGCACTGAGCTTAGGCGCTGGGCTGCGCGTGACAATGCAACCATCCTTGCTATCAGTGCCCTGTTGCCGCTGACCGAGCAGGAACACTTTGCGCAGGAGGAGACGGCCCACGCACTGATGAAAACTGTGATCACTCGCTATTCCACCCCGGTCACTGTGACTCTAGGACGCCACATCCTCCCCTTTCTCTTTCCTGATCTCCCGTCGTTCGCTAGGGTGGCTGACCTGATCCTGCACTTGCGTTCCCTTGATGCTCAGTTCCGTGCTGCGTTTACCGACCCTGCCTTGCTTGCCAAGAACCCCCCCCCCCATGTACATGACCCTGTACCTGCTAGCCTCCCGTCTCCCTGACCGATTCAAAACCGCTCGTGACCACTTTCTCACCGTTGATCCACCGACTCTCACCATTGAGCTCTTTGAGGAGAAGCTCCTTGCAGTAGAGGGTCCCGCTCGGTCTCTTGCTGCCGCTACTGGTGCTGTCCTCCCCCCTATCTTTGAGGGGTGTGCCCCGTCCTTTCTTGCCTCCTCTGTGGCCTCGGCCTCTGTTGCTACTGCAACAGAGGTGGCAGCCGTTGCCTCTGGCAACAAGGGGGGCAAGAAGGGCGGCAAGAAAGGAGGAGGTGGTGGTGGCGGTGGTAGTGGCGGTGGGGGTGGTGGTGGAGGAGGTGGAGGGAGTGGAGGAGGTGGAGGGAGTGGAGGAGGTGGAGGGAGTGGAGGAGGTGGCGGTTCCGGTGGTAGTGGAGGAGGGGGTCCTGTCTTGGGGAGTGTGGAGCCCCAGCAGCAGCTACAGCAGCAGCACCAGCCACAGCAGCAGCAGCAGCCACAGCAGCAGCAGCAGCAGCAGCCACAGCAGCAGCAGCAGCCACGGCAGCAGCTGCTCCAGGGCCAGCAGCAGCAGGTCCAGCACTGGCCCCCGCAGCAGCAGTGGAGGTCGGCCGGACCAGGGAGCACTGCCCGTAGCAGTGGCCAGTCCAGCTGGTCGTCGCGTGGTCCAGCCTTGACTCCCTGCCAGTACTGGGTTCAGACTGGGTCACGTCGAGACGGCCCCTGTGGCCGCCTCCACCCTCCGGGCCAGTGCTTTGCGCAGCTTACGGACCGCTACCACGCACACTTCGGCCTTGGTCGCACTCCCCCTGACAGGCGCTCGCTGGCTCGCACCGTTGGTCCGCAGTTGTTTGACATGTCTGCAGTAGACTTAGACCATGCTTTGCGATCTGCCTCTGTGATGTATGCTGATGACTCTAGTGTTGAGTATTCTGGTTATTACTCTTGCCTGTGTAGCTTAGGTGCTGTAGAGGTTGCTAGTGCTTTCCCTGCTAGCGTAGCTTGCACTGGTTTGACCACTGGGGCTGCGTCTTGGTCGTTCACGCTCGACGCTGGGGCGTCCAGCTGTTCCTTTCGCGACTGCACCGACCTCACACCACTACGCACTCCTGTCTCTGTCGCCCTAGCTGACTCCACGGCGGGACCAATGGTTGCTCGCAGCACCACCACCCTCCCGTGTCCGGCGGCTCCCTCTGGGTTCCTCACAGGTTACTACACCCCCTCGTTCTCCAGGAACTTGGTGGGTGTCAGTCACCTGCACGACCTCGGAGTAGTCACCACTTTCCCTTTGGTCGAGCCTGTTGCCTCCTGCACAGTCGGTGTCACTGGGGCGCCTCTTGCCACTTTCCACAGGGAGTCAGGCTCCGGCTTGTACTCACTACACACGGGGTCTCACCGCTCAGGTCAGGTCAGGTCAGGTCAGGTCAGGTAGCTGCTGTGTCGTGCGACTGTCGGTCACTCACCCACCCGTCGGTCCTCTGGCACCACCGCCTAGGTCACCCGTCCTTCCCACGTCTCAGTAGGATGGTACGTCACCGTCTGGTCTGAGGTCTCCCAGAGTCGCTCGCCCCGCTTCCCCGCTCGCCTGCGCCGCCGTGCACTCCTTGCGTCGAGGGTCGGCAGCGCGCTGCCCCTCACTCCTCTTCGTTCCCCCCCACCACGGCTCCTTTAGAGACCCTGCACTTGGACGTCTGGGGCCCCTCCCCTGTCCTTGGCCCACGTCAGGAGCGCTTCTTCCTGATTGTGGTGGACGACTTCTCCCGCTTCACCACGGTATTTCCCTTGCGATGGAAGGCCGACGTGCCTACCGTCCTAGAGCCGTGGCTACTAGCGAGGGGTGGTGCCCAGGGCCTTTGTGGACTCCGTCTACACTCGGACCGTGGTGGTAAGTTTGACTCCACTCGCCTGTCGGCGTTCTGTGAGGCGCAGGGGATCGTCCAGTCCTACACGCTACCAGCCTCGCCACAGCAGAATGGGGTAGCTGAGCGTCGCATCGGCCTGGTCATGGAGGTTGCCCGTACCTCCATGTGCCATGCCGGTGCACCCCAGTTCCTGTGGCCCCAGGCAGTCCGCTACGCCGCGCACCAGCTGAACCTGTGGCCCAGTGACGCACGGCGACGGGTGACGCCGGTCTTCCTTTGGACAGGTTCTCGAGGTGTAGCAGCTGACTACCGCGTCTGGGGTTCTCTAGCTCACGTTCGCGCCCCTGGCGCGAACAAGTTGTCTGCGCGCACTCGTGCCTGTGTCTTTCTTGGCTTCCCTCTGGACGCCTCCGGCTGGCAGTTCTACGACCCAGTCACCCACCAGTTCTTTGCTTCTCAGGACGTCACTTTTGACGAGTCGGTCTGTTACTACAGGAGTCGCCCTCACCGAGGTTCTGAGGCCTTTTCTCCCCCGCTGTTCCTCACCTCTGACCCTCCCCCTGTTGCCCCAGTAGCCCCCCCACCCTCGCGTCCTGCCCCGTCCGGTGTGTCGCACGTCACTCCGCAGTCGTCTCCCCCACAGCGTCCAGTCCCCGTCGTGTCTGGGGGTGTGGGAGGTGCAGCTGCGGAGGGTGAGGGTACTGAGGCTAATGGAGCAGGTGGTGCCGGTTCTGGGGGTGCAGGGGGTGTGGGTGTGGAGGCCCCTCCTGTGGAGGACATCGCTGCCTCGAGTCGGCGCCCTCGCCCCGCCTCACCCCCTGGTTTCCCGTCAGTTCCGCAGTTCCCTCCTCGTTCGACGCTGCGGCCGGTCACTGCGGAGCCTGGGGGTGTTTCTGCGGGAGGTACTGGAGACACTGGGGGTGTCGATGGTGGAGGTGCTGGTTCTGGGGGTGCTGGAGCTGGAGGCACTGGCACTGTGGCGCCTACACCGCGCACTGTACGTTTCCTGACCCGTGAGCAGCGTCTTCTTCGGTTGGAGAGGGAGGAGCGTGAGAGGTTTGAGAGGGCGCAGCAGCAGCAGTAGCAGCAGCAGCAGCAGCAGCAGCAGCAGCAGCAGCAGCAACAGCAGCAGGAGCAGTCTCAGTCGCAGCAGCAGGAGAGAGTAGAGGAGGAGTCACAGCAGCACCAGGAGAGAGCAGAGGAGGGGTCACGACTGCAGCAGGAGGTGCAGTTGCAACCGCAGCAGGAGAGAGTAGAGGAGGAGTCACGAGTGCAGCAGCAGGTGGAGTTGCAGTCGCAGCAGGAGAGGGTAGAGGAGGAGTCACGACCGCACCAGGAGAGGGTCGAGCAGGAGTCTCGCCCGCAGTAGCAGGTGCAGTTACAGACACAACAGGAGAGAGTAGAGGAGTCACGACCGCAGCAGGAGAGGGTAGCAGAGGAGTTCCGGTCGCAGCAGCGAGTGCAGCAGCAGCCGCAGCAGGAGAGGGCAGAGGAGGAGCCACAGGAGCAGCAGCAGGGGCAGGTACCGTTGCAGCAAACGCCAGAGGAGGCGGAGCGGCGGCGACTGCGACTGCGAGACCTGCCCGACCCAGCACCTGCACGCTTGGTTCGTGGTCCCCTACCGTCCCCTCCTGTTCTCCCCGTCCAGTACCTGTCCTCGTCCCAGTGGACTCGTCGTTCTCCCCTTAGTCGAGCTGTGTCTCCAGAGCCCCGTCGGTCTCGTTACCGTGCAGCCGGTCCGTTTCACCTTGTTCTCCGCTCTCGTGTTCCATCTCCTCCGGTCCTTCCACAGCCTCCTGAGTCGTCCCTCACTGTACTTCACGACCCGTTGTCCGACTACCTCCGTGCCTCCCATCCCATCGTCTCCCGTGTCTTGTCCGCGTTGGTCACTCACCCGAATGCACCTCTGTCATCTGTCTCAGCTCTTGTTACCACTGTCGCTGGCTTTGCCTCTTCCCACCGCCTTGACTACGCCGCTCACCTGGTGAGTGGCCTTGCTCGTTCTCCGTCCTCTGGGGGTGCTCCTGTCTTTCCCTTGGAGGTCCTGGAGGACAGGCAGTTCGAGCTTGGTTTCCTTGCGGCCGTTGTTCCTCATCTCTGCGCCATGCTGCTTGCCCCTGAGGGGGATCCTGACGCCCTTGACATCCCGATCCCTCGCAATCACGCTGAGGCGGTCTTGGGACCCTGGGCTTCGTACTGGATAGCAGCTGAGGAGGCAAAGATGGCATCTTATAGGTCCACTGGCACCTACGTCGACGCCGTCCCACCACCTGGGACGAACATTGTCAGTGGCATGTGGCTCTACAAGGTGAAGCGGCCGCCTGGAGCACCACCGGTGTTCAAGGCGCGCTACGTGGCGAAAGGCTTCAGTCAGCGGGAGGGGGTCGACTTCTTCCAGACCTTCGCTCCCACCCCGAAGATGACCACTCTTCGGGTGTTGCTGCATATTGCAGCACAGCGCGACTACGAGTTGCACTCCTTAGACTTCTCCACCGCGTTTCTTCAGGGGAGCCTGCACGAGCAGATCTGGCTGCGTCGTCCGCCTGGCTTCACTGGCACTTTCCCTCCTGGGACCCAGTGGCAGCTACGTCGACCGGTCTACGGCATGCGTCAGGCTCCCCGCGAGTGGCACGACACGCTACGTACGACTCTTGCAGCGCTTGACTTCTTTCCTTCGTCTGCCGACCCGACGCTGTTCGTCCGCCGTGGCTCGACCCCGTTCTTTGTTCCGGTCTACGTTGACGACCTGGTCTTCGCCACTCCCGACCGACGCGCACTGGCCTCCGTGAAGGAGGAACTGCAGAGGAGACACACTTGCACTGACCTTGGTGAGCTGCAGCGCTACCTCGGCCTGCAGATCACCAGGGACAGGGCAGCTCGCACCATTACGCTGACGCAGTCGCATATGGTCGAGCAGATCCTCACGCGGTTTCGCTTCCCGTTCTCCAAGGTACAGCCCACCCCTCTTGGTGTGGATCATGGGCTCACGGCTCCACCTTCGGACGAGCCATTTGAGTCCAGTGGTCCATATCCTGAGCTGGTGGGTTGTCTCATGTACCTGATGACCTGCACTCGCCCAGACCTAGCTTACCCTCTTAGCGTCCTTGCGCGCTTTGTTGCGCCTGGGAGACACCGACCTTCCCACTGGTACGCTCCTAAGAGGGTGGCGAAGTATGTGGCCAGGCATGGGACTTGTCCTTGGAGGGAAGCAGCCAGTTACACTTACAGGTTTCTCGGACTCGTCGTGGGCCGACGACGCTGAGTCGCTGCGGTCTACACAGGGTTACTGCTTCAGCCTTGGGACCGGAGCTGTTTCGTGGAGGTCAACTTGGGCGTCGTCCGTCTCTAGTTCCAGTTGTGAGGCAGAGGTGTACGCTGCGGCCATGGCCGCCCAGGAGCTTCGCTGTCTGTCTTTCCTCCTCACCGACCTTGGTGAGCGGCCTCGCTCTCCCCCAGTCTTGTTCGCCGACAACAGGTCTGCTATCCTGTTGTGCGAGGAGCCCCGACTGGTTGGGAAGGCGAAGCACATTCAGCTTCGTTACTTCCTTCTGCGAGAGTTGCAGCAGCGTGGCCAGGCACTCGTGCGACGTGTGGTCTCTGAGGCCAACACTGCAGATATCTTCACCAAGGCGTTGCCGCCTTGTGACCACCAGCGCTTCTGTACCCAGCTTGGCCTTGTGTCTTTTGGCCCTCACTTGCTTACGTAGAGATGCTTTGTCTTGTACTCTTGCATCTCACTATATATCATATAGCTGTGTTTGTGACAGGCCTTGTGGCCCCTTGCTTTTGTAGAGATGCTTGTCATGCATGTCGTGTACTCTTGCATCTCTTATATCTGCTATATACATGCATGTGGACTGGCCTTGTGGCCTCTTGTTTGTTCTCGGACTGCGTGGTGATCTTGAGATCCACCCCGAGAGTTGTTTTGTTATTGTCCACTGGTCTTGTGACCGTTGCTTGTATGTGCTGACTGGTCCTGTGATCGTTGCTGTGTTTTGCTTTCCACAGGACTTCCGTCACCTAGACTATGGGGGTGTGTCAAGCTATAATTGTTATAGCTTCTATTGTTGGTCTAGGTGTATTTTCTACTTGTTGGGGTTAGGGTTAGGTTTCCTATATACTTGTTGTACTTTCCACTTCTAGTCATTCTTATTTCTTAACAGCAAGGCCGCCGGCCGCCGACCAACGGCAAGGCCGCCGACCGCCGACCAACGGCAAGGCCGCCGACCGCCGACCAACGGCAAGGCCGCCGGCCGCCGGCCGCCGACCAACGGCAAGGCCGTCGGCCGCCAACCAACGGCAAGGCCGCCGACCAACGGCAAGGCCGCCGGCCAACGGCAAGGCCGCCGGCCAACGGCAAGGCCGCCGACCCACGGCGAGGCCGCCGGCCGCCGGCCCACGGCGAGGCCGCCGGCCGCCGGCCCACGGCGAGGCCGCCGGCCGCCGACCCACGGCGAGGCCGCCGGCCGCCGACCCACGGCGAGGCCGCCGGCCGCCGACCCACGGCGAGGCCGCCGACCCACGGCGAGGCCGCCGGCCGCCGACCAACGGCAAGGCCGCCGGCCGCCCGCCGACAACCAACGGCAAGGCCGCCGGCCGCCGACCAACGGCAAGGCCGCCGGTCGCCGACCAACGGCAAGGCCGCCGGTCCCCAACCAACGGCAAGGCCGCCAGCCGCCGGCCAACGGAAAGGCCGCCGGCCGCCGGCCGCCGACCAACGGCATCGCCGCCGGCCGCCGACCAATGGCAAGGCCGCCGGCCTCCGGCCAACGGCAAGGCCGCCGACCAACGGCAAGGCCGCCGGCCAACGGCAAGGCCGCCGGCCGCCGACCAACGGCAAGGCCGCCGGCCGCCGGCCGCCGACCAACGGCAAGGCCCCCGGTCGCCGACCAACGGCAAGGCCGCCGTCCAACGGCAAGGCCGCCGGCCGCGCCGACCCACGGCGAGGCCGCCGGCCGCCGACCCACGGCGAGGCCGCCGGCCGCCGACCCACGGCGAGGCCGCCGGCCGCCGACCCACGGCGAGGCCGCCGGCCGCCGACCCACGGCGAGGCCGCCGGCCGCCGACCCACGGCGAGGCCGCCGGCCGCCGACCCACGGCGAGGCCGCCGGCCGCCGACCCACGGCGAGGCCGCCGGCCGCCGACCCACGGCGAGGCCGCCGGCCGCCGACCCACGGCGAGGCCGCCGGTGGCCGGCCGCCGACCCACGGCGAGGCCGCCGGTCGCCGACCAACGGCGAGGCCGCCGACCCACGGCGAGGCCGCCGGTCGCTGACCAACGGCGAGGCCGCCGGTCTCCGACCAACGGCGAGGCCGCCGGTCCCCGACCAACGGCGAGGCCGCCGGCCGCAGGCCGACGACCAACGGCAAGGCCGCCGGCCGCCGACCAACGGCAAGGCCGCCGGCCGCCGAGCAACGGCAAGGCCGCCGGCCGCCGACCAACGGCAAGGCCGCCGGCCGCCGACCAACGGCATCGCCGCCGGCCAACGGCAAGGCCGCCGGCCAACGGCAAGGCCGCCGACCCACGGCAAGGCCGCCGGCCGCCGGCCAACGGCAAGGCCGCCGACCAACGGCAAGGCCGCCGGCCCCCGACCAACGACAAGGCCGCCGGCCGCCGGCCGCCGATCAACGGCAAGGCCGCCGGCTGTCAACATATATTTTATATGTGTTGTTTAGGTTAGTCTAGGTGTTACGTTTCTACTTACTTGCATGATTAGGGTTTGCTATATCTAGGGTTGTACTTCACATTTTCTATCAATTCATTCTTATCGTAACATGGTATAGAGCTAGGTTTCCCTTAGGCGATTTTTCCCCTAGGCGATTTTTTTCCCTTGGGCGAAATTTCTCTCGATAGTCTATGGGCCCACCACCCGCGCGCCTCGTAGCGACCCATAGCCCGAAGCGCCCTGCCCCGTAGAGCCCGAGTAGGTCGCGCCCCCCCATCGACATCGCGCGTCACCCGTTTCTGCCCTGCGCCCCACCCGTTTTTGCCGTGCGTCACTCGTTTTCTGCCCCGCGCCCCACTCGTTTTACCCCGCGCGTTTCCCCCCAGCCCTCTAGCGCGCAGCAGACGAACGCGCGTAGCTGCGCGCGCAGCCTTAGTCGCACCCGCAGCTTCGCGCTAGTACGTCGCGGCCGCGCGCACGTGCAGCCCACCGTCTTAACCGCCCCCCAGACCTGAAAACCCGCCATTACAGACCTGAAAACCGCCGCCGAACTTGGAAACCCGCCGCCCCAGACCTGAAAACCGCCGCCCCAGACCTGACAACCGCCGCCCCACCTGGAAACCTGCTGCCCCACCCGTTCCAGGCACCTCACCCGGGATCAGCCGCCCCACCCAGTCCTCTCCACCGCATTGAACCGCACAGAACTGCACATAACTGCACAGAACCGCACAGAACCGCCGCCTTAACAGCTTCCCCACCTGAAAACCACCGCCCCAGACCTGACAACCGCCGCCCCACCTGGAAACCTGCTGCCCCACCCGTTCCAGGCACCTCACCCGGAATCAGCTGCCCCACCCAGTCCTCTCCACCGCATTGAACCTCACAGAACCGCACAGTACTGCACATAACCGCACAGAACTGCACAGAACCGCCGCCTCACCCGTAGCCCGCTGCCTTAACAGCTTCCCCACCTGAAACCTGCCTCCCCACGACCTACCACACCCGCCGTCAGTAGCCCCAGCCGATTACACTGCCGCCAGCTACACCAGCAGCAGCATAGGCTGCCCCCAGCGCACCAGCAGCAACGTAGGCTGCCCCCAGCAGAACCAGCAGAACCAGCAGAACCAGCAGAACCAGCAGAACCAGCAGAACCAGCAGAACCAGCAGAACCAGCAGAACCAGCAGAACCAGCAGAACCAGCAGAACCAGCAGAACCAGCAGAACCAGCAGAACCAGCAGCAGCATAGGCTGCCCCCAGCGAACCAGCAGCAGCATAGGCTGCCCCCAGCGCACCAGCAGCAGCTTAGGCTACCGCCAGCGCACCAGCAGCAGCTTAGGCAACTGCCTGCGCACTAGCAGCAGCATTGGCTGCCCCCTGGAGAACCAGTAGCAGCCTAGGCTGCCTCTCAGCAGAACCAGAAGCAGCACAGGCTGCCCCCAGCGCACCAGCAGCAGCTTAGGCTGCCCTCAGCAGAACCAGTAGCAGCATAGGCTCACATGGCATGTACTAGGGTTCTACAGCAGCAGGGCCAGCCGCAGCACTCCCGTCAGTTGGGGCCTGCGGGTCCAAAGTGTGGCGCCCCCAGCAGTGGCTCAGCTAGCAGTGGGCGAGACGTCGGCCCCTGCGGGTACCGGGCCCTGACAGGCCCTGGTGCTGGCACTACCTGCTGGAGTCCTGACCACACTGCGTCCAGCTGCTACCGTCGACTCGACGACCTCCACCGTGAGCGTTTTGGTCCTCACGCTATTACACCGCACTGGCCTTCGCGCCTTCGCCAGCGCACTACTGCACCAGTTGAGTCTCACCTGCCTGGTCTAGGACCCTTTCCGGCTGCACGAGTAGAGACCTGTGTTTCCAGTCTTGGTGCGTGTGTTGTTTCCAGTCCCGGCGCCTCTGAGGGTCTTTGTGTAGAAGCTGCAGCTACCACTAGTCTAGCACTAGCCTTTGTAGCTGGTTCGGGTGCGACCCCACAGACTGCACAGCTTTCCTTCACCCTAGATTCTGGAGCGTCCAGCTGTTTCTTTCGTGACTGTACCGACCTCACACCACTGCGCACTCCAGTCACTGTCGCCTTGGCTGACCCCTCTGTGGGACGTGTAGTTGCTAGCAGCACCACCACTCTTCCGTGTCCGGCGGCTCCCTCAGGTTTTCTTACAGGTTACTACACCCCCTCGTTCTCTAGGAACTTGGTGGGTGTCAGTCACCTTCACGACCTAGGCGTAGTCACTACTTTCCCACTGGACGAGCCTGTTGCCTCCTGCACTGTCGGTGCCACTGGGGCGCCCCTGGCCACATTCCACAGAGAGCCGGGATCTGGTCTGTACTCACTACACACTGGGTCCCACCACACTGAGTCGGGTCAGGTCAGGTCAGGTCAGGTAGCTGCTGTGTCGTGTGACTGTCGGTCCCTCACCCACCCGTCGGTCCTCTGGCACCACCGTCTAGGTCACCCGTCGTTCCCGCGTCTCAGTAGGATGGCACGTTACCGTCTGGTCTCAGGTCTCCCAGGGTCGCTTGCACCGCTTCCCCGCTCGCCTGCGCCGCTGTGCACTCCTTGCGTCGAGGGTCGGCAGCGCGCTGCCCCTCACTCCTCCTCGTTCCCCCCCACCACGGCTCCCTTCGAGACCCTGCACTTGGACGGCTGGGGCCCCTCTCCGGTCCTTGGCCCACGTCAGGAGCGCTACTTCCTGATTGTGGTGGACGACTACTCCCGCTACACCACGGTTTTCCCCTTGCGACGGAAGGCCGACGTGCCTACCGTCCTCGAGCCGTGGCTACTAGCGTGGGGTGGCGCCCAGGGCCTGTGTGGGCTTCGCCTACACTCGGACCGTGGTGGTGAGTTTTCTTCCACTCGCCTGGAGACGTTCTGTCAGGGTCGGGGGATCATCCAGTCTTACACGCTACCAGCATCACCGCAGCAGAACGGGGTAGCCGAGCGACGCATCGGCCTGGTCATGGAGGTTGCCCGGACCTCCATGTGCCATGCCGGTGCCCCCCAGTTCTTGTGGCCCCAGGCAGTCCGCTACGCCGCGCACCAGCTGAACCTGTGGCCCAGTGACGCACGGCCAAGGGTGACGCCGGTCTCCCTTTGGACAGGTTCTCCGGGCGTAGCAGCTGACTTCCGCGTCTGGGGTTGTCTGGCTCACGTTCGCGCCCCTGGCGCGAACAAGTTGTCTCCGCGCACTCGTGCCTGCGTCTTTCTTGGCTTCCCTTTGGACGCCTCCGGCTGGGTGTTCTACGACCCGGTCACCTACCAGTTCTTCGCTTCGCAGGACGTCACGTTCGACGAGTCTGTCTGTTACTACAGGAGTCGCCCCCACCGAGGTACTCAGGCCTTTTCCCCCCCGCTGTTCCTCACCCTTGAGCCCCCACCAGTCGCCCCGGTAGCCCCCCCCCCTTCGCGTCCTGCCCCGTCAGGTGTGTCGCACGTCACTCCGCAGTCTTCCCCCCCGCAGCGTCCAGTCCCTGTCGTGTCTGGGGGTGCGGGAGGTGCAGTTGCGGAGGGTGAGGGTACTGGGGCTGCAGGAGCTGGTGGTGTCGGCTCTGGGGGTGCAGGGGTTGTGGGCGTGGAGGTCACTCCTGTGGAGGACACGGCAGCCTCGACTCGGCGGCCTCGCCCTGCCTCACCCCCTGGCTTCCCGTCCGTCCCGCAGTTTCCTCCTCCTTCTCTGCGGTCGGTTGCTGCGGAGCCTGGGGGTGTTCCTGCGGGAGGTACTGGAGGCCCCGGGGGTGTCGGTGGTGGAGGTGCTGGTTCTGGGGGTGCTGGTGCTGGAGGCACTGGCACTGTGGCGCCTACACCGCGCACTGTACGTTTCCTGACCCGTGAGCAGCGTCTCCTCCGGTTGGAGAGGTAGGAGCGTGAGCGATTTGAGAGGGCACAGCAGCAGCAGCAGCAGCAGCAGCAGCAGCAGCAGCAGCAGCAGCAGCAGCAGGAGAGAGTAGAGGAGGAGTCACAGCAGCAGCACGAGAGGGTAGCGCAGGAGTCCCGGTCGCAGCAGCGGGTGCAACTGCAGCCGCAGCAGGAGAGGGTAGAGGAGGAGTCACGGCCGCACCAGGAGAGGGTAGAGCAGGAGTCCCGCCCGCAGCAGCAGGTGCAGTTACAGACACAGCAGGAGAGAGTAGAGGAGCAGTCACGGCCGCATCAGGAGAGGGTAGAGCAGGAGTCCCACCCGCAGCAGCAGGTGCAGTTCCAGACGCAGCAGGAGAGAGTAGAGGAGGAGTCACGGCAGCAGCAGGAGAGGGTAGTGCAGGAGTCCCGGTCGCAGCAGCGGGTACAGCTGCAGCCGCAGCAGGAGAGGGCAGAGGCGGAGCCACAGGAGCAGCAGCAGGGGCCGGTACCGTCGCAGCAGACGCCAGAGGAGGCGGAGCAGCAGCGACTGCGACTACGCGACCTCCCCGACCCAGCACCTGCACGCTTTGTTCGTGGTCCCCTGTCGTCCCCTCCTGTTCCACCAGTTGAGTCCCTTTCCTCCTCCCAGTGGACTCGTCGTCCTCCCCTCAGTCGTGCTGTGTCTCCACAGCCCCGTCGGTCCCGTTACCGTGCAGACGGTCCGTTTCACCTTGTTCTCCGCTCTCGTGTTCCACCTCCTCCTGTCCTTCCACAGCCCCCTGAGTCGTCCCTCACTGTGCTTCACGACCCGTTGTCCGACTACCTCCGTGCCTCCCGTCCTGTCGTCTCCCGTGTTTTGTCCGCGTTGGTCACTCACCCGACTGCACCTCTGTCGTCTGTCTCAGCACTTGTTACCACTGTCTCTGGCTTTGCCTCTTCCCACCGCCTTGACTACGCCGCTCACTTGGTGAGTGGCCCTGCACGTTCTCCGTCCTCTGGGGGTGCTCCTGTCTTTCCCCTGGAGGTCGTAGAGGACAGGCAGTTCGAGCTTGGTTTTCTTGCGGCCGCTGTTCCTCATCTCTGCGCCATGCTGCTTGCCCCTGAGGGGGATCCAGACGCCCTTGACATTCCGATCCCTCGCACTCACGCCGAGGCGGTCTCGGGACCCTGGGCTTCGTACTGGATAGCAGCTGAGGAGGCAGAGATGGCATCTTATAGGTCCACAGGCACTTACGTCGACGCAGTCCCACCACTTGGGACGAATGTCGTCAGTGGCCGATGGCTCTACAAGGTGAAGCGGCCGCCTGGATCACCACCTGTGTTCAAGGCACGCTATGTTGCGAGAGGCTTCAGTCAGCGAGAGGGGGTGGACTTCTTCCAGACCTTCGCTCCCACCCCGAAGATGAGTACTCTTCGGGTGTTGCTGCATATTGCAGCCCAGCGCGACTACGAGTTGCACTCCTTGGACTTTTCCACCGCGTTCCTTCAGGGGAGCCTGCACGAGCAGATCTGGCTGCGTCGCCCGCCTGGCTTCACTGGCTCTTTCCCACCTGGGACCCAGTGGCAGCTGCGTCGACCAGTCTACGGCCTGCGTCAGGCCCCACGTGAGTGGCACGACACACTTCGCTCGACCCTTGCAGCTCTTGACTTCTTTCCGTCGTCTGCTGACCCGTCACTGTTCGTTCGCCGTGGCTCGACCCCGTTCTTTGTCCTGGTCTACGTCGACGACCTAGTGTTCGCCACTCCCGACCGACGCGCGCTGGCCTCCGTGAAGGAGGAACTGCAGAGGAGACACACATGCACTGACCTTGGTGAGCTGCAGCACTACCTTGGCCTGCAGATCACCAGGGACAGGGCAGCTCGCACCATTACGCTGACTCAGTCGCATATGGTCGAGCAGATCCTCACGCGGTTTCGCTTCCCGTTCTCCAAGGTACAGCTCACCCCTCTTGGTGTGGATCATGGGCTCACGGCTCCACCTTCGGACGAGTCATTTGAGTCCAGTGGTCCATATCCTGAGCTGGTGGGTTGTCTCATGTACCTGATGACCTGTACTCGCCCAGACCTAGCTTACCCTCTTAGCGTCCTTGCGCGCTTTGTTGCGCCTGGGAGACACCGACCTTCCCACTGGTACGCTGCTAAGAGGGTGGCGAAGTATGTGGCGAGTACATCAGGCATGGGACTTGTCCTTGGAGGGAAGCAGCCAGTTACACTCACAGGTTACTCGGACTCGTCGTGGGCCGACGACGCGGAGACGCGTCGGTCTACACAGGGGTACTCCTTTAGCCTCGGGGCAGGTGCTGTTTCGTGGCGGTCGACTCGGGCGTCGTCTGTCGCCGGTTCCAGCTGTGAGGCAGAGGTGTACGCTGCGGCCATGGCCGCTCAGGAGCTTCGCTGGCTGTCTTTCCTTCTCACCGACCTTGGTGAGCGGCCTCGCTCTCCCCCAGTCTTGTTCGCCGACAACAGGTCTGCTGTCCTGTTGTGTGAGGAGCCCCGACTGGTTGGGAAGGCGAAGCACATCCAGCTTCGTTACTTCCTTCTGCGTGAGTTGCAGCAGCGTGGACAGGCACTCGTTCGACGTGTGGTCTCTGAGGCAAACACGGCAGATATCTTCACCAAGGCGTTGCCGCCTTGTGACCACCAGCGTTTCTGCACCCAGCTTGGCCTTGTGCCTGCCCGTCCTCACTTGCTTGCTTAGAGATGCCTTGTTCTGCATGTCTTGTACTCTTGCATCTCTTTATATTTGCTATATACCTGCATGTGGACTGGCCTTGTGGCCTCTTGCTTGCTCTCGGAGTGTGTGGTGACTTTGAGCTCCACCCTGAGATTTGTCTTGTTCTTGTAGACTGGTCTTGTGACCGTTGCTTGCTCTTGTTGTTTCTACAGGACTTCCGTCACCTAGACTATGGGGGTGTGTCAACATATATTTTATATGTGTTGTTTAGGTTAGTCTAGGTGTTACGTTTCTACTTACTTGCATGATTAGGGTTTGCTATATCTAGGGTTGTACTTCACATTTTCTATCAATTCATTCTTATCGTAACACCGGCAGCCGGCCAACGGCAAGGCCGCCGACCAACGGCAAGGCCGCCGACCACCGGCAAGGCCGCCGGCCGACGACAAACGGCAAGGCCGCCGGCCGCCGACCAACGGCAAGGCCGCCGGCCAACGGCAAGGCCGCCGGCCAACGGCAAGGCCGCCGGCCAACGGCAAGGCCGCCGGCCGCCGGCCGCCGACCAACGGCAAGGCCGCCGGCCACCGAACAACGGCGAGGCCACCGGCCACCGACCAGTGGCAAGGCCTCCGACCAACGGCAAGGCCGCCGGCCGCCGACCAACGGCAAGGCCGCCGGCCGCCGACCAACGGCATCGCCGCCGGCCAACGGCAAGGCCGCCGGCCAACGGCAAGGCCGCCGGCCAACGGCAAGGCCGCCGGCCAACGGCAAGGCCGCCGGCCAACGGCAAGGCCGCCGGCCAACGGCAAGGCCGCCGGCCAACGGCAAGGCCGCCGGCCAACGGCAAGGCCGCCGGCCAACGGCAAGGCCGCCGGCCAACGGCAAGGCCGCCGGCCAACGGCAAGGCCGCCGGCCAACGGCAAGGCCGCCGGCCAACGGCAAGGCCGCCGGCCAACGGCAAGGCCGCCGGCCAACGGCAAGGCCGCCGGCCAACGGCAAGGCCGCCGGCCAACGGCAAGGCCGCCGGCCAACGGCAAGGCCGCCGGCCAACGGCAAGGCCGCCGGCCAACGGCAAGGCCGCCGGCCCCCGACCAACGACAAGGCCGCCGGCCGCCGGCCGCCGATCAACGGCAAGGCCGCCGGCAGCCGGCCAACGGCAAGGCCGCCGACCAACGGCAAGGCCGCCGACCACCGGCAAGGCCGCCGGCCGACGACAAACGGCAAGGCCGCCGGCCGCCGGCCAACGGCAAGGCCGCCGGCCAACGGCAAGGCCGCCGGCCGCCGGCCGCCGACCAACGGCAAGGCCGCCGGCCACCGACCAACGGCGAGGCCACCGGCCGCCGACCAGTAGCAGGGCCTCCGACCAACGGCAAGGCCGCCGGCCGCCGACCAAGGCAAGGCCGCCGGCCGCCGACCAACGGCAAGGCCGCCGGCCGCCGACCAACGGCAAGGCCGCCGGCCGCCGACCAACGGCAAGGCCGCCGTCCGCCGACCAACGGCCCGGCCGCCGGCCGCCGACCAACGGCAAGGCCGCCGGCCGCCGACCAACGGCAAGGCCGCCGGCCGCCGGCCGACGACCAACGGCAAGGCCGCCGGCCGCCGACCAACGGCAAGGCCGCCGGCCGCATGCCGCCGACCAACGGCAAGGCCGCCGGCCGCATGCCGACGACCAACGGCAAGGCCGCCGGCCGCCGACCAACGGCAAGGCCGCCGACCAGCGGCATCGCCGCCGTCCGCCGGCCAACGGCATCGCCGCCGGCCGCCGGCCAACGGCAAGGCCGCCAACCAACGACAAGGCCGCCGGCCAACGGCAAGGCCACCGGCCAACGGCAAGGCCGCCGACCCACGGCAAGGCCGCCGGCCGCGGGCCAACGGCAAGGCCGCCGACCAACGGCAAGGCTGCCCGCCGACGACCAACGGCAAGGCCGCAGGCCGCCGACCAACGGCAAGGCCGCCGGCCGCCGACCAAGGCAAGGCCGCCGGCCGCCGACCAACGGCCCGGCCGCCGGCCGCCGGCCGCCGACCAAGGCAAGGCCGCCGGCCGCCGACCAACGGCAATGCCGCCGACCAACGGCAAGGCCGCCGGCCGACGACAAACGGCAAGGCCGCCGGCCGCCGACCAACGGCAAGGCCGCCGGCCGCCGACCAACGGCAAGGTCACAGGCCGCCGGCCGACGACCAACGGCAAGGCCGCCGGCCGCCGACCAACGGCAAGGCCGCCGGCCGCCGACCAACGGCAAGGCCGCCGGCCGCCGACCAACGGCAAGGCCGCCGACCGCCGGCCAACGGCAAGGCCGCCGACCAACGGCAAGGCCGCCGACCACCGGCAAGGCCGCCGGCCGCCGACCAACGGCCCGGCCTCCGGCCGCCGACCAACGGCAAGGCCGCCGGCCGCCGACCAACGGCAAGGCCGCCGGTCGCCGACCAACGGCAAGGCCGCCGACCAACGGCAAGGCCGCCGGCCGCCGACCAACGGCAAGGCCGCCGGCCCCCGACCAACGGCAAGGCCGCGGCCGCCGACCAACGGCAAGGCCGCCGGCCGCCGGCCGCCGATCAACGGCAAGGCCGCCGGCCGCCAGCCAACGGCAAGGCCGCCGACCAACGGCAAGGCCGCCGACCACCGGCAAGGCCGCCGGCCGCCGACCACCGGCAAGGCCGCCGGCCGCGGACCACCGGCTAGGCCGCCGGCCGCCGACCAACGGCAAGGCCGCCGGCCGCCGACCAACGGCAAGGCCGCCGACCAACGGCAAGGCCGCCGGCCGCCGGCCAACGGCAAGGCCGCCGGCCAACGGCAAGGCCGCCGTCCAACGGCAAGGCCGCCGGCCGCCGACCAACGGCAAGGCCGCCGGCCGCCGACCAACGGCAAGGCCGCCGGCCGCCGACCAACGGCAAGGCCGCCGGCCGCCGACCAACGGCAAGGCCGCCGGCCGCCGACCAACGGCAAGGCCGCCGGCCGCCGACCAACGGCAAGGCCGCCGGCCGCCGACCAACGGCAAGGCCGCCGGCCGCCGACCAACGGCAAGGCCGCCGGCCGCCGACCAACGGCAAGGCCGCCGGCCGCCGACCAACGGCAAGGCCGCCGGCCGCCGACCAACGGCATCGCCGCCGGCCGACGACCAACGGCAAGGCCGCCGACCACCGGCAAGGCCGCCGGCCGCCGACCAACGGCAAGGCCGCCGGCCGCCGACCAACGGCAAGGCCGCCGGCCAACGGCAAGGCCACCGTCCAACGGCAAGGCCGCCGGCCGCCGGCCGCCGACCAACAGCAAGGCCGCCGACCAACGGCAAGGACGCCGGCCGCCGACCAACGGCAAGGCCGCCGGCCGCCGACCCACGGCAAGGCCGCCGGCCGCCGACCCACGGCAAGGCCGCCGGCCGCCGACCAAGGCAAGGCCGCCGGCCGCCGACCAACGGCAAGGCCGTCGGCCGCGGACCAACGGCAAGGCCGCCGGCCGCCGACCAACGGCAAGGCCGCCGGTCGCCGGCAGCCGGCCAACGGCAAGGCCGCCGACCAACGGCGAGGCCGCCGGCCGCCGACCCACGGCGAGGCCGCCGGCCGCCGACCCACGGCGAGGCCGCCGGCCGCCGACCCACGGCGAGGCCGCCGGCCGCCGACCCACGGCGAGGCCGCCGGCCGCCGACCCACGGCGAGGCCGCCGGCCGCCGACCCACGGCGAGGCCGCCGGCCGCCGACCCACGGCGAGGCCGCCGGCCGCCGACCCACGGCGAGGCCCGCCGGCCGCCGACCCACGGCGAGGCCGCCGGCCGCCGACCCACGGCGAGGCCGCCGGCCGCCGACCCACGGCGAGGCCGCCGGCCGCCGACCCACGGCGAGGTCGCCGGCTGTTACGATATGAATGAATTGATAGAAAATGTGAAGTACAACCCTAGATATAGCAAACCCTAATCATGCAAGTAAGTAGAAATGTAACACCTAGTCTAACCTAAACAACACATATAATATATATGTTGACACACCCCCATAGTCTAGGTGACGGAAGTCCTGTAGAAACAACAAGAGCAAGCAACGGTCACAAGACCAGTCCACAAGAACAAGACAAATCTCAGGGTGGAGCTCAAAGTCACCACACACTCCGAGAGCAAGCAAGGGGCCACAAGGCCAGTCCAGATGCAGGTATATAGCAAATATAAAGAGATGCAAGAGTACAAGACATGCAGGACAAGGCATCTCTAAGCAAGCAAGTGAGGACGGGCAGGCACAAGGCCAAGCTGGGTGCAGAAACGCTGGTGGCCACAAGGCGGCAACGCCTTGGTGAAGATATCTGCCGTGTTGGCCTCAGAGACCACACGTCGAACGAGTGTCTGTCCACGCTGCTGAAACTCACGCAGAAGGAAGTAACGAAGCTGGATGTGCTTCGCCTTCCCAACCAGTCGGGGCTCCTCACACAACAGGACAGCAGACCTGTTGTCGGCGAACAAGACTGGGGGAGAGCGAGGCCGCTCACCAAGGTCGGTGAGAAGGAAAGACAGCCAGCGAAGCTCCTGAGCGGCCATGGCCGCAGCGTACACCTCTGCCTCACAGCTGGAACCGGCTGTCAACATATATTTTATATGTTTAGTTTTTGTTAGTCTAGGTGTACCATTTCATATTCCTAGGGTTAGCTATATCCTCTTGTATATCGTTTCCCTTAGTCAATCTTTTCACCCGTTCTAGTCTCGACATGGTATAGAGCTAGTCGACCCTATGGGCCCACCGCCCCGTGCCCCGACCTAGGAACGTAGCCACTTAATACCCGAAGCGCCCTGCTACCCCCCCCTTAGCTCGCGCATCACCCGTAGTGCCCTGAGCGCGTCATCCGTTTAGCACAGAGCGTCACCCGTTTTTTTTTCACCCGCGCCTCACCCGTTTTCTGCCCCGTGCGTAGCTCGCCAGCCCGCTAGCGCGCAGCAGGCCCATGCGCACGTGCAGTCGTAGCCGCACATGCGACCGCGCGCACGCGCAGCATTAGCCGCACGCACGTGCAGCATTAGCCGTACGCACGCGCGGCATTAGGAGCACGCACGCGCGGCATTAGCAGCATGCACGCGCGGCCATAGCTGCACGCACGCGCAGCAATAGCCGCACGCACGCACAGCCCGCCAGCTGCGGTACCGTCTCACCCGTCCCCGCTGACCCACCTGGTGCCCGCTGTACCACCCGTCCCAGCCGCCCCACCAGTTACTCTCCCCCGCCCAGAACCGTACAGCACCGCGTAGAAACGCACAGAACCGTGCGACACCGCCCAGAACCTTACCTGCTGACCCATCCGCACCAGCCAGAGCTGCTACCCCACCCCGTACTCTCCACCGCACTGAACCGTGCAGAACCGCGCAGAACCGGGCAGAACCGCACTGAACCGTGCAGAACCGCGCAGAACCGGGCAGAACCGCACAGAACTGCGCAGAACAGCACAGAATCGTGCGGCGCCGCCCAGAACCTTACCTGCTGACCCACCCACACTAGCCAGAGCTGCTACCCCACCCGGTACTCTCCCTCGCACAGAACTGTGCAGCACCGCACTGAACAGGGCAGAACTGCACAGAACCACGCAGCACCGCACAGAACTGCACCCACTGCCCCACCTGTACCAGCCAGAGCTGCTGCCCCACCCGTTCCCGTCACCACACCAGTAACCAGCCGCTATCCACCTCACTGAACCACCTGGTACCGCTCTCAAACGTACTAGACCCCACCCGAGCGTGCCCGTTCATTGCCCTCGCGCCAGGGCCTCCTCCCATGGCCACTTCTCGTATTCTCACGTTTGATCCTGAGGGTAGGCCGGTAGACTTCCCAGGATGGCTCCGCAAACTCAAGCTTTTCCTAGGGAGTAGGATCGAGAACGACGTTCGCCTTCTGGACCATGCCACGGGCAAACTCGTAGCCCCGAAGGAACCCGACCCCTTAGGTTCCTCCCCGTCGGACGAAGAGGAAGCTCGCTTTGAGAAGCTGCAGCTGGCGGCCAGTCGGTGGGCGGCGCGGGACGACGCCACAGTGCTCGCCATCACCGATCTCCTGCCCGTGACAGAGCAGCAGCACTTCGAGCAGGAGGTGACGGCCAAGGGCCTGTTTGATGCTGTCGTCAAACGTTATTCCACCCCAACCACTGCTTCCCTCGGTCGGCTTGTACTGCCCTTCCTATTTCCTGACCTGCCCTCGTTTCACCGCGTCCCTGACCTTGTGCTGCACTTGCGCTCGCTTGATGCCCAGCTCCGTTCTGCTGCCCCTGATGATGCCCTACTTGCCGCCAACCCCCCCCCGATGTGGATGACACTGTACCTGCTGTCCACCCGCCTCCCTGACCGTTTTGCTACAGCCCGTGACCACTTTCTCACTGTTAACCCCATGTCCCTCACCATTGACCTCTTTGAGAAGAGGCTCACTGCTGTTGAGGACCTTGCCCGTTCCCTTGCTGCTGCCTCCGGTACTGCCCTCCCCCCCATCTTTGAGGGATGTGCTCCGTCCTTCCTAGCTTCCCCTGTCGATTCGGCGTCTGTTGCCACTGTACCAGAGGTGGCAGCCGTTGCCCTTGGCAACAAAGGGGGCAAGAAGGGGAGTAAGAAGGGAGGAGGTGGTGGCAGTGGTGGGGGTGGCGGAGGGGGCGGTGGTGGGGGTGGCTGAGGGGGCGGTGGTGGAGGTGGCGTAGGGGGTGGTGGTGGAGGAGGTGGAGGGGGTGGGAGTGGTGGAGGAGGCGGAGGAGGAGGCAGTGGAGGTGGAGGTAGTGGGGCCCCCCAGCAGCAGCAGCCTCACCAGCAGCAGCCGCAGCAGCCGCAGCCATAGCAGCAGCGGCAGCAGCAGTTCCAGGGCCAGCGCCAGCAGACGCCGCAGCAGCAGTGGAGGTCCCCTGGACCCGGGAGCTCTGTCAGCAGCAGCGGCCCGCCCAGCTGGACGTCGCGTGGTCCAGCCCAGCACCCCCCCTGCCAGTATAGGGTGCTGACTGGGCCGCGTGGAGGCTACCCTTGTGGCCGCTTCCACCCCCCGGGTCAGTGCTTTGCACAGCTCACCGACCGCTACCGTGCGCAGTTTGGCCCCACCCGCACTGTCCCCGATTGGGCCTCACTGGCTCGTTCTGTTGGCCCGCAGTTGTATAGCATGACTGCACCTCAGTTAGATGAGGCTGTGCGTTCTATGTCTGTGATGTATGCCGATGACTCTATTGTTGATGATTTTGCGTACTATTCCTGTTTCTCTAGCTTAGGTGCTGTAGAGGTTGCTAGTGCTTTCCCTGCTAGCGTAGCTTGTCCAGGTTCGACCACCGAGACTGCGTCCCTGTCGTTCACACTCGACTCTGGGGCGTCCAGCTGTTTCTTTCGTGACCGCGCCGACCTCACACCACTACGCACCCCCGTCACTGTTGCCTTGGCCGACCCCTCTGTGGGACCTGTGGTTGCTCGCAGCACCACCACTCTCCCGTGTCCGGCTGCTCCCTCTGGGGTCCTTACAGGTTACTACACCCCCTCGTTCTCTAGGAACCTGGTGGGTGTCAGCCACCTCCACGACCTCGGAGTAGTCACAACTTTTCCCTTAGAGGAGTCAGTTGCCTCCTGCACAGTCGGTACCACTGGGGCCCCTCTGGCCACCTTTCGCAGGGAGCCGGGCTCTGGTCTGTACTCACTACACACCGGGTCCCACCACACTGGGTCAGGTCTGGTCAGGTCAGGTCAGGTAGCCGCTGTGTCGTGTGACTGTCGGTCCCTCACCCACCCGTCGGTCCTCTGGCACCACCGTCTAGGTCACCCGTCGTTCCCACGTCTCAGTAGGATGGCACGTCACCGTCTGGTCTCAGGTCTCCCAGCGTCGCTTGCCCCGCTTCCCCGCTCTCCAGCGCCGCCGTGCACTCCTTGCGTCGAGGGTCGGCAGCGCGCTGCCCCTCACTCCTCCTCGTTCCCCCCCACCACGTCTCCCTTCCAGACCCTACACTTGGACGTCTGGGGCCCCTCCCCGGTCCTTGGCCCACGTCAGGAGCGCTACTTCCTGATTGTGGTGGACGACTACTCCCGCTACACCACGGTTTTCCCTTTGCGACGGAAGGCCGACGTGCCTACCGTCCTCGAGCCGTGGCTACTAGCGAGGGGTGGCGCCCAGGGCCTGTGTGGGCTCCGTCTACACTCGGATCGTGGTGGTGAGTTCTCTTCCACTCGACTGGAGACGTTCTGTCAGGGTCGGGGGATTATCCAGTCTTACACGTTACCAGCCTCGCCGCAGCAGAACGGGGTAGCCGAGCGTCGCATCGGCCTGGTCATGGAAGTTGCCCGGACCTCCATGTGCCATGCCGGTGCCCCCCAGTTCTTGTGGCCCCAGGCAGTCCGCTACGCCGCGCACCAGCTGAACCTGTGGCCTAGTGACGCACGGCCACGGGTGACGCCGGTCTCCCTTTGGACAGGTTCTCCGGGCGTAGCAGCTGACTTCCGTGTCTGGGGCTCTCTGGCTCACGTTCGCGCCCCTGGCGCGAACAAGTTGTCTCCGCGCACCCGTGCCTGCGTCTTTCTTGGTTTCCCTTTGGACGCCTCCGGCTGGTTGTTCTACGACCCGGCCACCTACCAGTTCTTCGCTTCTCAGGACGTCACGTTCGACGAGTCTGTCTGTTACTACAGGAGTCGCCCCCACCGAGGTACTGAGGCCTTTTCCCCCCCGCTGTTCCTCACCCTTGAGCCCCCCCCAGTCGCCCCGGTAGCCCCCCCCCCTTCGCGTCCTGCCCCGTCAGGTGTGTCGCACGTCACTCCGCAGTCGTCCCCCCCGCAGCGTCCAGTCCGTGTCGTGTTTGAGGGTGCGGGAGGTGCAGTTGCGGAGGGTGAGGGTACTGGGGCTGCAGGAGCTGGTGGTGTCGGCTCTGGGGGTGCAGGGGTTGTGGGTGTGGAGGTCACTCCCGTGGAGGACACGGCAGCCTCGAGCCGGCGGCCTCGCCCCGCGTCACCCCCTGGCTTCCCGTCCGTCCCGCAGTTCCCTCCTCGTTCTTCTCTGCGGCTGGTTTCTGCGGAGCCCGGGGGTGCTACTGCGGGAGGCACTGGAGGCTCCGGGGGTGTCGACGGTGGAGGTGTTGGTTCTGGGGGTGCTGGAGCTGGAGGCACTGGCACTGTGGCGCCTACACCGCGCACTGTACGTTTCCTGACCCGTGAGCAGCGTCTCTTCCAGTTGGAGAGGGAGGAGCGTGCGCGGTTTGAGAGGGCACAGCAGCAGCAGCAGCAGCAGCACGAGAGAGTAGAGGAGGAGTCACAGCCGCAGCAGGAGAGGGTAGAGGAGGAGTCACGGCCGCACCAGGAGAGGGTAGAGCAGGAGTCCCACCCGCAGCAGCAGGTGCAGTTACAGACCCGGCAGGAGCGAGTAGAGGAGCAGTCACCGCCGCACCAGGAGAGGGTAGAGCAGGAGTCCCACCCGCAGCAGCAGGTGCAGTTACAGACCCAGCAGGAGAGAGTAGAGGAGGAGTCCCGGTCCCAGCAGCGGGTGCAGCTGCAGTCGCAGCAGGAGAGGGCAGAGGCGGAGCCACAGGAGCAGCAGCAGGGGCCGGTACCGTCGCAGCAGACGCCAGAGGAGGCGGAGCAGCACCGACTGCGACTACGCGACCTCCCCGACCCATCACCTGCACGCTTTGTTCGTGGTCCCCTACCGTCCCCTCCTGTTCCCCCTGTTGAGTCCCTTTCCTCGTCCCAGTGGACTCGTCGTTCTCCCCTCAGTCGTGCTGTGTCCCCTGAGCGTCGTCGGTCCCGTTACCGTGCAGACGGTCCGTTCCACCTCGTTCTTCGCTCTCGTGTTCCACCTCCTCCCGTCCTTCCACAGCCCCCTGAGTCGTCCCTCACTGTGCTTCACGACCCGTTGTCCGAC